GGCAGTTTTGAGGCTCCCTGCAAAAAACAGCTTCCCTAAAAGGAAGTCTGGAATGTGACTGAAAAGCTAACTTCAGGTTTTCCTCATTAGTCACCCTTTGTCTTTAGTTTTGCTCCATAACTCAGTTCTTGTCACGACCCTTTGGTTCCTAGGACAAAGCCCAGGTCCACTGTGGTACAGGTTGATTCCTTCTGTCAGCCCCACTGCTGACACCTGGAGGAGCTCTCTCCTTCACTGCAAAGAGCGTCTGGTAGCCTGTTAAATTCCCTGCGCTCTGATTGGCTAGTGATGTTGAACGTGTATATTATGCCCTTTTTATTTATTGCCTTTATTAAAGTCTTTGTTTACAGATTTAGTGTTGGAAATCTGTATATGACCTCTACGTATATAATGTATTTTGGGTTTTTAATGTATACTTAGTGTTGAACTTGAACTGACGGAATTTCTGGCTTTCTCATCTACACCTGGGAAAGAGGCTGTGGCTGGCTGCTTCTTCATCAGGGCTCCAGCGTCGGGGGTGGAGGGGAGGCTGCTGCAGCTGCAGGCATGAGGTACCACAGTCAGGATGGATTAGGAGACCTCACACTGCCAGGCATCCAGTAGCATTAAAGATGCTGAGGTGACATTCAGGGTCAGGTAAAGCCGCTGCTTTCTGCCTTTGAAGTTTGCTGGTAATGGAGACACACTTTTGTGTATAGGTGTGTATGTGTGTGTGTGTGTGTGTCCCGCCTGCTAAGCTAAGGAATGCTGGGCTTCACTGTTGCTGGTATTTCCCTGATGAATTGGGGTCACTTGTTTAGGTGACCAGGAAGTTGAAGGGCCCTAGTGTATGTTTCCCAGTCTGGGAATTCTTGGCTTACAGATGGTATCCTGTCTTCTTTTCTGGTTAGAGAGAGGTCTTTCATAAAGGACAAAGACGAGCGTCAAGTCTGCTAAAGAGACGGGTTTACAGTGCTGATCTGGATCCTTCTTTGAAAAGTTTGAGCACTTTTTAGTTTTTTTGTACATTAAACAATTTAAAGACTGCCTGTGTCTGATTAGAACAAAAGGGTTCTTCCTTGCTGATCTCACCGCGGACTGTGGTTGGACTTCACGGCACAAGGAAAACATTCCTTCTGAAGGCAAACATAGCACCAGGTGGTGGTGTGGCTTTGAACCCAGATGAAATGGTTATCAATGGGACATAGGTGTGGACTTCACTAAACCAAACAGATTGTTCCTGTAGAGCTTAGAATGCGTCCCCAGTGCTGCAGGCATTGATCGCAGAGGTGATGGGCAGCCCCTTCTCTGGCCCGGCTTTCAGCCGAGCCGTGTGGACTCTCAGGTGTGTCTAACGAGAATGGGAAAATATGATAATGACAGTTATAAAGTGGGTAAGAGTAAGTTTTTACTGACATCTGTTTTGGGTTTTGGAGTCAAGTTCATTCCATCATCATCTGGGGAGGAAAGAGGCCTCATCTGCTGTTCTTTCTAAAGATCCGGGTTCACAGATCTGTGTCTGAGGACCTCATGTGTTCTCTCTGTATTTTAAGGCAGACGTGGGAATTATTTTCCTTCCCATGTTTATGTGTTACACAGACATGTGTAACGTTTTACTCAGCCATCTTTTCTCCTGTGGCCCACAGACCTGCTCCTAAGGGACAGTTTGGTCAGCCTTGGCACTTAGTGTTGCCGTCAGTGTCTGGGGGCCGCAGGAGACAGGGATCACTTCTTCAGCCGTGTTCCCTCCCCACCCCAAGTCACTGAATGTTTACACGGGGTGGCTGTCCTCTCTGGACACCAACCTGGTTTCCTGGCAACAGCACCTCCTAATTCAGATTTCTCTCTTGCTGACCCGCGGTAATGGAATGCTTTGTGACCACATGCAGGTCCTGCTCCTCCCTGGGCACCTCGTCCTGTGTAAGTCAGTGCACGGCTTTTCTGCTCTGTAAAGAGTGTATACCACTCTTCTGTAAGCTCGGTTATGATATAGTAGCGTCCAGAATTTGACTGGCCTCTAGATCTTGCGTGTTGGCCAAACAAGCAAGGAGTTCATTCTGCACCTCCCTGCTGAGACCAGTCTGCTTGCTCCAAGGTGTCTCCTGCACCTCCTTTTCTGATTACACAAGCTTTACTTACAAGTCATGGAACTCCATGATCAGGGTCACTTTGTGTTTTTAAGAGAAGCTTGATTCTTCCTTAGCTCTGTAAAAGGATTTTGTTGTCCTGGAGTAGTGCAGTTTGCTCTTGCCTGTTTTTTGCTGGGGTGTTGTCTTCTCAGCTGGAGATTTCCCTGTGCATGGTCATTGTTGCCACAGGAAAGACACACAGAAAGTATCCTGACATTTTTAGGAATTGCGCTTGGGTGGAGCTTTTGAGGTCCCTTGCTCCCAGACAGTGTTCATTGAGAAAAGTAGCTGGTCCTTGCTTCCTTAAGCTCTGAAGGCCTGTGAGCCTGGGTTTCATGTGCTCCGAGGATGCTCTCCAGGGCACTGCCTGTACCGTTGAGGGTGCACACATGCTGACATAGGAAAGCTGGCAGGTTTTGCCCTGAGCATCTGTCTTAACTGTAATCTAGGTTTCTTAAATTTACTGGAAAATTTGATTCTTTGGTCTACCCCGCCACCACCCCAACACACTCTACAGTCCTGACAGTGATTTGGGAGATGCTGGCTGTGTGGCACGGTTCTTTCTCTTCCCTGCTTTGCCTTTCCCACATCCGATCTCGAAGCAGAACTTGAGCCCTGGGTTTCTGAGGTTTTAAAAAACGCTTTTGCCTAGGGTTCAGTTAAAGCGAAGTCCTTACAGACCTTGCGGCTGTGACAGTTCTTGGGACACTTTCTATTATTGTTGATTTTTGAGGAAATACTGTTATATCGTGTAGCAGTTTATTTTTGAATAAGCTAGGTGCCATGCTCACAGAGGCACCTTGGGGTGAGACATTCCTATTTCCATGGGTTTGCTGGGCGTCAGCCTCACATGGCCTTAGGCCTGTGACGTCAGCAGAGCACAGGTTGCAATCTCCTCTTGGGAACAGTGACTGGGATCAGTCAGACCTTACGATCCGGGCGGATCAGAACTATGTTTCTGACCCCTCGTGTCAGAGAACCTTGCTTTCTTTCATCTCTTTCATCCCTTCTGCTGCTCTTATTTATGAAGTGGCCCCCATTATTCATGACTGTCTGCTCTGTGTCAGATATGATACCGTGGTGAATCGGGGAGACAGCGCCCAGAGAAGTTCTAGTTTAGAGCAAAGGGCGAGAGATTGGCAGCGACACACACCAGTGCCTGGGCTGTAGATTTAGAGACCACCCACCAAAGCATGAGCAGTGTCTTCTCACAGAGAAGGTTAGGTTAGAGACACGGTGGAGCCGCAGAGTCAGCAGGTTCCCCACGTCTGAGTGATTTAAGGGAGGTCATGTGAGGGACTGCAGGCTTGAGGGAGCAAGTTGGAATTGAGTCACAACTCCACACCCCATTGCTGTGTGAGTTTCTCAAGCCCTAGTTCCCTGTCCTAAGGATTCAGGGAGGGCTGCTGTCCGAAGTCCTGAGACTCCCTCCCTGGTTTTGTAGGCTTGTTTGGTGTGGTGTTTGCAGAAGAAGCCTCAGAAGTTTTAAGCAAGGGCTGGGGTCCGCGTCTCGTTGTGGAGCTAACCCATCTGCAGAGCAGCTCTGAGAGGAGTATGAGGCTCACATAGCACTGCACGCTGTGCGGTACACGGTCTGCTGAAGTCCACGAGACAAGGGGAATGAGGGTTCACCGTGTTTAAATCACACACTTCCAATCTGTGTCTGATGAACAGGACTTCTTTGTTTCTTCCTATCCTTGGCTTCCAGCTCTGCCCAGGTCTGCAGGCAGAAGCCTGTGTCTTCATGTCTTCCAATGGTGGGTGATGCAGGGTATGTGGGGAGTGCTGGTCAGCTAAGTGGAACTTGGGGTACTCACTTGGCAAGCCATTTCTTGTGCAGAATGATCTGTTAGGACCCTCTTCCAGGTACCAACATGCCTTTCTATAGGAGCTGCTCCTGTCTTTCTGGCTTGTCAGAGCCTGTGGTAAGCAGACACTGCAGAAGTGCTGCGACAGTGGCCTGCAGCGTTGTCTTGGGCTGTTTTACCCAATTCCTTGTCTTCCTGGGGTTGGAATGACCTTCTTCTCAGTGGTTTGTCACCGTTTGTCACAGTTGGCACTCGGGTTTCTCTGAGCAGACATACATCACTCACAACTAACTCATTTATTTTTATATTTAGTGCCTGGTTTTCAAAGGCATTTGAGCTTCATTTTAAAATGAAATGTACCTTATAGTCTGGAGAAAATGCTACATAGTGCCGTACCAGAAATGGAATTTGGAATGAAAAGAGTATCCGTGACCCCATCCTGAAAACATACGCCAGCGTAGAGTGCTGGTTCCCGCACGCGTGTTTGGTAGGACACCGCTGAAAACACGTCCTATCTTAAGAGACGTGGAACTGTTGGCAAAATCTTACAGAGTTTGACAAGTGGTCGATAAATCAGCAGAGTGAGCCAGCATGCCTGTTACCGTGCACACTGTTGCCTGTGCGTCTTTCTGTAATTAGCTCTGGTTTTCTAGGACAGAATTAGTTTCTCTGGCTTTGGGACCCATGAATCTTTGCGGGTGGTTAGTGCTGGTGTCACAGGGTGGTGTTACATACCTCCTGGCTTGCATCTGTTTGTTATTAGTTTTGTATTATTATTAAGAAATCTGGGGGGCTGGAGAGATGGCTCAGAGGTTAAGAGCATTGCCTGCTCTTCCAAAGGTCCTGAGTTCAATTCCCAGCAACCACATGGTGGCTCACAACCATCTGTAATGGGGTCTGGTGCCCTCTTCTGGCCTGCAGGCATACACACAGTACAGAATATTGTATACATGAATAATAAATAAATATTAAAAAAAAGAAATCTGGGCTGTTAGTTAATTATTCTAGAGTTTGATAAAAAGAAATCGGAAGTTTGTTTTTTTAAAAAACCACTGAAGAACTTGCTTTTACTATGTCATTTCAGTTCCAGTTACTATGGCAATGACGGCAGGGGCAGCAACCACCTTTCCCATGAGCAACCATACCAGGGAGAGAGTGACAGTGGCCAAGCTCACTCTGGAGAATTTTTACAGCAACCTGATCTTGCAGCATGAAGAGAGAGAAGCCAGGTACAGCGAAGGCTGAGTGTGTGCTTAGTGTTCTGTGCTGGGTGGGAGCCCTGGCCTCTGTTACGTGTTCTGCACTGACGGCGCACCTGGCTGCCGGGTTTGTTTCCTGGGTTCCCCGAGTCTTGTGCACATACGCTGGTGTCCCACGTCACTTGTTTAACACAGATCTTTGCAGCCGTGGCGTTGTGGTATGCCCATGTGCGTTTCTCTAGAGAGATGGCTTTAGAAACCACGGAGTAATGTATGACATCAGTGGTGCTGCGGGGCATTAGTGGGCACAGAGAAATAAGGACGGCGTGTCATTCTGCCTCAGTGAAACCTGGAGTGTCGTAAGACAGCCAGTGTACGCGAGATGCTCTGTGGGAGTGGGGAGTGACGGTAGGGGACCAAGGGAGCACTTCCCAAGCGACAGTGACATTTGACCAGGAAGAACATCGTTCACACATGATGAGAGGAAGTGGAGGAGGTGGAGCAGCACACACCAGGGCCCAGCATCCTGGGCTGGGCTGTACCGCAGGGCAGTGTCCTGGAAGGGGCCCGTCTGGAACTCAACCCCGAGCAGCCCTGGCAGCCCTTTCTCGATAGCAGGCATGAGATCTCACTCTGAGGCTGGGCCCGGGGGACAGAACACAAGTGGAATCCGGCAGCAGGCACGCGTGAGATACGTACTGAGAAGTAGTCCCTAGTTTCATGGGCACTGGCTGCCGAGTCTCCAGCAGAGTTTAGATGCAGTGGTAATGAGTTTTCCATCAGGAGGAAGGGAGGGAGTGGTCTGAGCACTGATCTAAAAAGGAGCTTATCTTCCGGTGTGTTCTTAGGAGTAGCAGATAATAAAGACCGTGGTAGTTGATCCTCAGTCCTTGACCCCATTTGGGTAAAAATCCTTGACCCGACTTGGTCTTCTGTTGTATAATCCAAAGTAAAAGCTTTGGTCAGTATGAAAATGCTGAATCTAAGTATCTCAGAAAAGAATCCCGATCATAGTGAATAGTTGGATCTTGGTCCAATGTGAAAGATTTTCTTAGCACATGCCCAGTGATTGGCTTGGATAAATAACTGTAGTTCTCAAATGGAAATAAGAATATTTTAGAAATCTAATTATTTTTTCCTTTGGAAAAGGCAGAAGAAATTAGAAGTGGCCATGGAAGAAGAAGGATTGGCAGATGAGGAGGTAACGTAACCGTCTGTACTAATGGTGTCGGCTGACTGTGACTTGGCTGTGTAGGTTTCTCCATCTGAATATGACTTCTTACTGTGTTGCCTTTGTGGGTACCTTAGGAGGAGATGGCCTTTGTCCCCAAGAACATCACATTTGCTGAATACCATCCACAGCATTCTGGGTGTGGGGGACAGGGTTAGGTGCTAGACATTGTCCATCGACCGTGTTCTGTGTGTGGGAGACGGGGGCAGGCTCTGGTCACTGTCCATTCACCCTGCTCTGGGGCAGGCTCTGGACCTGTCTGTTGATTCTGTCTTCTTACATTTTTTTTCTGAATATTTCTTTAATGGTTTACTTCCTAATTTAGGCTCTCTTGCATCTCACTGAGTCTTGAAATGGTCTCTTCCTCCTGTCCCCAGTTTTTCTGCATTCTGCAAACAAGTCTGGCTGGCTGTCCTTCCTGCCTGTGATGGCTTCAGCGAGATGTCATGCCCCCTACACCGCCCCCCTGCACACTCCCCGCCCGCCCCCAGCATTCTCCTCACCCCCAGCCTCTGTGTTTGTGGTTGGTGGTGCTGTTTGGGAGGCTCAGGAGATTGGCCTTGCTGAAGGAAGTGTGTCACCGGAGGCTAACTTTGAGAGTTCCAAGAATTACCATTTCAGGTTTGCGCTCTCTGCTTCCTGCTTGTGGCTCACGATTCCTTCGGCTTCCTGCTTCTGCTGCCATGCCGTTGGACTTGAACCTCTGGGACTGTGAGCACAAGCAGCAGCGTCTCAGGAGTTACCTTGGTTGCGGTGTTTCATCCCAGTAGAAGGGTAGTTAATACCATGCAGTGCAGGCTTCTTTACTGGTGGGCTGCATCCCATCCAGCAGTGACCAATCCCGAATTGCTGTGACTTCTCCCTGCTCATCTGTGGCCCTTTTCAGGTGCTATTTCTGCCTCTTGAAGCTCGCTCTCCTCCCCAGCATCTCGCTTCACTGGGAAATCCTCCCTGATCGCTCAACTGCCTGCCCTACATTCTACACTGGCACTCTTCCTGTCCTTGTGATAGTCTGAGATCAGCATCTTCCCAGAGACAGAGACTGCATCCTGCCTCACTCAGCATCGCATGCCAGAGCACACAGAGGGCCGGAGAGGATACTTATGTAGTGGTGGGCAGTGGGCTTCCCTGCCAGAGCCGGATACTTAGGTAGTAGTGGTGGGCAGTGGTTTGAGTCCCAGCAGCCCCCCTTCCAACAAGTGAAAAATACATATACATCATGGAATATAGCAACTTTGAAAATACACAGACCCCCCCATACAGGAGCTCAGAAAAGGTTTTGTGGAGAACGTAGCAACTGATTTGACTCTGAACTGATGGGCAGAGTTTATTTCATGGACTGGCACTGTGTGTGGCCCAGCAGCTGTGCATGCAGAATAGCGAGAGTGTTAAAGAGGGCAGTAGGAAGGGAAGGGAAGTTGAAGGCGTGAAGAACTAACTTTAGGGCAGTTACTGAAAAAAAAAAGCTTTATTCTCCGGATGAGAATGAGTCACAGCCTAGGCTGACCGACCCTCAGCGGTCAGCAAGGGGCCTGAAGGGGTCACGCTGACCACCAGGTGAGGCTTGGAGCCCAGTGAGCTACAGCGCCCACAGCTTCCTTCGCTGTGCCTGTCCTTCTGTCCGACATCCTACGGAGGCTAGGGAAGGGTAAAGATATTTACGTAAAATTAGCAAGAGTCTGAAAACCTTGTTTTATCTTGTTAAATTTTAGTGAGAAGAGTAATTTAAAGGCTGCATCCTAGTCCATAGAGAAAGGCAAGCACATCTCCCTTAGTTTTCCTCATTAATATTACAGCTATAATGATTGGGCTCACACAGAATTTTTTTCTGTTGTCTTTTATTTATTTATTTATTTATTTATTTAATTTATTTATTTTTTGGTGTTTCAAGACAGGGTTTCTCTGTGTTGTCCTGGTTGTTCTGGAACTTTCTCTGTAGACCAGGCTGATCTTGAGCTCAGAGATCCTCCTGCCTCTGCCTCCCAAGTCCTGGGATAAAAGGCGAGCACCACCACTGCCTGGTCAGAACAACAATCTTAAACACAGGATCTTAATTTAAAGTCTAGGGAAAGGTTGCCAGGATAGATGCCCCGCCAAGCACAGTGGATACTCCATACATTGAAGGACAACCTGCAGGATATAGCAGGACCCTGCCACAGGGGAAAAAGGAAAGGGGGGAGGTGGAGGAAGAAATAGGTTTTGTTTGTTTGCTTGTTTTTGTTAATACATTTGTTCTTCTCACTCTTTGTTAATGACGACCTGCCGTTTGTCAGATCTCAGAGCTCAGGATCTGCTGTGTTAGAGGACAGGGTACAGAGCAGTCGTCCCTGCGTTAGCCCAGTGTGGCCAGGCTCCAGTTGTACAAGGTCTGGAAGTCTGGGCTTTGTCTAAACATTTTAAAGCTACTTTTAGAAATATTGCCAAGTGATAAAAGAGTTTTAAACCCAACTTGGGAGTCCAGAACTGCCCGGGAACGTCTGTTTGTAGCGGCCCTTGGCGCCCCCTGGTGGACACTAATGTTTTTCTTAGTTCTTGTAAATAAACTTGTAGAAAATGTCAAATCATTTTGCTTCTCAAAGTCGTTGGCTATTAATATGTGTTTTTAAGCATCCCACTTTTTCTGTGGAGAGCGTTTAAAATCCCTGTGTGTTTATTTTAGGCTCTGTGCTTGGACTTTGATTATGCTGTGTATAAAACAAAACAAATTCAATTTTATTATTAGAATGTTTCTTCAAAAAGTATAAACCTAAAATTTTCTTATGCCTGTTTGTGTGGATGTGGGGTGCATGTGAGGCCAGAAAATAACTTGGGGTGTTAGTCCAGTGCTGTCTGCTTCCCTGTTGACCTGGCCAGCTGGCCTCAGAGCTCCACCTGTCTCTGCCTCCCCAGTGCTGAGATAAGTGTGTGCCTCCACACCTGGCCTTTTTGCATAAACCGTGGGGACTAAACTCGGGGCCTTGTATCTGCAAGATAAGCACTTTACCAACTGAGTTTCCTTCAAGTGTGGCTCTTCCTTAGTTCATTCTGTAATAGAAGATGTCTGTGCAGTGGTCCACGGGTGAGCTGTGAGGTCCTTAAACTGTGTGTGGCTGTGTACAGCAGTGGCTGACATGACGTGGTTAGCTGAACCCTGTAATATCTCAGAACTCTGAAATATTTTAGCTGCTTTATAGATACTTGAGCATGCTGCTGACTGAGAATCTGATCCCTTCGGAAAGGAATGGAGTCTCTAATCCCAGCCCTGGGGAGGGAGATGCAAGAGATTGCCAGCTACAAAATGGGATTGCCTCAAAACACAGGGACAGGATATTTGTTAATTAACAAGAGTCATCAAGAATGAATGTTTATTAATGGGAAAATGAAAATAAGTGATTTAAGCTGCAGGAGAGAGCCGTGAAGAGTCGTCTGTCTCAGGTCTTACCCTAGTCTGGGAAAGGAAGGACTAGCACTGGGCTCTTGTTTCAGTACACATTCTGAGCAGATACAGTAAGTGCTGTTCATGGCTTTAAAAATGTGATGTTGCTTCAGCTACCACTGGACTGCAGTGCCGCCTGACAGGCTAAAGTCACTGCATAGGTTGTCCTGGGGCCCGGGTTCTACTGTGGTGCTGGCAGACAGGAGAACCTGTCAGAAACTCAGTGCTTGTAAGTTGGTGTTGCTGTTGTTGTTTTGGGTTTTAGCAGACTCTTGTCTGCAGATCCTCAGCACATGTGCATTTATTATGTGCAATTTGAAATTAAAACAAGCGCTTTTATTGCCCGTGCGCTATACAGTGCTATAGTGCCACCAAGTGGCCTTTAAGAGAAAACTCTAGTTCTGGACCTTAAATCAAGCTAAGTCTCAGAGCTGCCACCCCATGCACAGAGCAGCGGGTGCTGGGTTCCTGGGAGAGGGGAACACATGGGACGCACTGGGCTGTGAAGGCCATCTCTGCTTTTATAATGATGCAGATGTAGTTGTCTGTTTGTTACTTTTCACTTTGTGGAGGCCGCCACCCAGCCCTAAATAAATACACAGAGACTTGTTCTGACTTATTAACGCCCGGCCTTAGCTTGGCATGTTTCTAGCCAGCTTTTCTTAAATTATTCCGTCTACCTTTTGCCTCTGGGCTTTTGCCTTTCTTTAACCTCTATCTCTTTTCTTCTTATTCTGTGGCTGACTGTGTTGCTAGGTGGCTGGCCCCTGGCATCCTTCTCTCCTCCTCCTTTTCCCCTCCTCCCTCTCTTGCTTCCCTCTTCTGTTTACTCCCTCTGCATGTCTGCCTCACCTGTCCTGCCTGGCTGTTGACCACTAAGCTCTTTATTAGACCAATCAGGTGTTTCAGACAGGTGAAGGAACAGCTTCACAGAGTTAAACAAATGCGACCTGAAGGAACACAACTCAGCTCTGCATCATCTGTGTCATTCAGCAAACATCCCACAGCATAAACAAATGTCACACACCTTCAGCTAAGATTTCACAATATCTCCCCCTTTTGTCTAAATAAAAATGAAAGGTTTTAACTTTAACACAATAAAACCACATACAACGTAAACATCATCAAGAAAGAGTTACTGTGTTCAGTGTGTTTGCAGTTAGCAAATTCAGAGAAAATATTCCATTATCTATCTTAGTAATTCCAAAGTTTTATACCTAATTTACTTTCTAGCCTAGCTAAGGAAATCTATAACTCTGTTTAGTCTTTAGCACCACCAAAGGCCCCAGAAGGATGTAATACTACCTAACAGCACAGACATTTGGCAGTCACCCAAAGTTCTTCTGCAGTGTTGGGGTACCCATCTTCAGCTTGCAGGCCTAGACTATCTAGCAGACTTTCCTGTGAGGCGGAATTTCAAAGGACTCTCCTGCCTTGTCTTGGCAAAGCTCAGCAGTCTTTTTTCCTGTGTCCTTTTCACATTGAAAGCAAACTCCATATGGAGTTTCTTTGATGCCCATCATCCTTTTATGAAGTATATTGGTGCTGCCAGGAGCAGATGTGTCGCATTGAAATCTTAGCTTATTAAACATCTTAAATGCCTTGTTCTGTAAGTCTTTGAAGTATTTGAAAATCATCTATTTAAAATATACCTACTTAGCCTTGAAAACATACCTAATATCACAAGTTTGATTGTTATAGATTAACTACTAACCATTTCTTAATTACACATTATTTTTGAGTGAGCTACATAAGCACAATGCCCTAAATAAGAATAGAAATATTTATACAGTGTAATAAAAATAACTTTAAATTTGTATCAATATACCAAAATCCATGCCAATGTAAAATATCTGGGATTAATAGTTGTCTTTTTATCTTATATTCCTCTAAATGATATCAAACATCTGTACCCCCAACTCTTTGGAATGTGGGCGTCATCTTCTCTAGACCGCATCCTGTTGTCTGTGGGTGAAGGCATCCTTAAGGGGTCCCTGAGAAAATTGAGATAGTGGCCAAGTCCTGGGAAGACCAGCTGTAATCTTTGTTGATATATCTCCTGTCAAGATTCGGGTCTTCCCTGGTCAAACCTGATCTATATCAATCCTGAAGGAAGCCACAGCCTCTCGTTTCCTGTGGAAATACAAGCAAACCTTCTTCCCCAAAGCAGTGCATATTTTGAATTCCGTTTTAAAGTTAAGACATTCTTAGACTACCCAGGCTGGTTTATTTCAGGAGTCCTTCCATCCCACACCCCGGCAGCTGCCCTTTCCTCAGCAGCACTCGGGACTCAGACTCCCTGTGAATTTCCCATCCCACATTGCCTTCTTCTTTTATATTACTCCACTCTCTCTTTAATGACTTTATTGTTTTTAAACATTTATTTTTTCTATGATTGCCTATATCCTTTTTTTTTCTTACACCTGTACACATTGTTAAACACAGTGGAACCTATTGACAGTTTTTTTTTTCTACTGGACCTCTTTTGCTATGTATTGCTAGTCTTTTTGTTGACTAAAAGAACCTTTAAACTGCTAAGCAACAACCTCTACCAGCTTCAGCAGCTGGCTCTGCCTGCTTCTCAGGTCCGTGTAGGCCAAGCCTAAAGCCGGAGGTCTGGTCAGAGGCACATGACTGGGAACTGCGTTCACCCCCAGAGCTCCGGAATGCCGATGCTTGTGCCATGGGACTTGCTTTTCACCCCACTTAATGTACTGGCTGTTCAAGGGCTCGCTGTAAGGCGGACTCTCTTAAAGGAGCGTGTCCATTTTTTTAAAGCTTTCTCAGGCCCTGTGATAATTTGCGCTTCATGTTGGTACACCAAAATGTAGTTGGTTATTTTTATTCTTTGCTCTTTGGGGGCCCACCACTCCGTTCCTAAATATGTACATGGGGACTTATTCTTAATCATGAACACCTGGCCTCAGCCAGCTTTCCATAACTTAAATTATCCCATCTATCTTTTGCCTCTGAGCTCTTACCTTTCTCTGTTCTATATTCCTTCCTTTTCTTCTGACTCCGTAACTGGTTGAAGCCACAACATAAATGAATATAACACATCTTAAACTAATATTCCACAGCATATAAACATAAATGTGATTTTAGCTGCATTTGTCTATTTAAAGGATTAAAGTTTCCAAAGCCCCAAGATAAGTCCAGTCTGCTTTTTACAGTAACACATATAAAGCAGTATTTGATAAATCTTCATTTCCTTTATTGCCTGGTTCCTAGCCAAAGACACACACACACACCACAAATCAAACTGGAGGCTGGAGAGGTGGCTCAGTGATTCAAAGCACTGGCTGCTCTTGCAGGGGCCCCAGATTTAGTTCACAACACTTACATGACAACTCACAGCCAATTGTAACTTGAATTCCAGGGGATCTGACACCTTTTTCTGACCTGTGGACACCAGGCATTCACATGGTACACAGACGTTCATCCAGGCAAAATATCCATATACATAAAATAAAATAAATTTAAAATTAAAATATCAGTGTATCTTCATTGAACTGTATGAGCTGAAGAAGTTTATTGCTTTGCTCCTACCTCTGCTACAAGTATTAGAGTCCTGTTTTGATGATACGCAGACTTAGACACCTAACTCTACAACAGGCAAGCAGGCTCAGGACAGGTGAGTGGCTCGCTTGGAGCAGTGTGCTGAGCTGATGGAGTGTTAGGACTTGTGTCCTGAGCTCAGCCTCTGAATGGTTGATGGGGTCCCTCAGACATGAGCAGGAGTGGATACCTGTAGTGGTTTTGTTTCCCATTGTGTGCTGCTTCTTCTGGGAACTGTCCCTGTGTCCTGGACTTGATTTTTTTATTAGGTGAGGAGCCAATGAGGTTAGAACAAGAAAGTGAATGATTTCTAAGTGCAGCATTTGGGTAGTTCAAAATGTTGCTTAGAAATAGTTCCTAGTTTATTATCTTTGCTGAATCAGAGTGTTACTGTGTTAGTATTGACTTGGGTGGGTTTGGTTTTTGTTTGCTTGGTTTTTTTTTTTTTTTTGGTTTTTGGGTTTTGGGTTTTTTTTTTTTTTTTGGCATGCACCTTTTTTTTTAATTGATTTTTATTGAGCTCTACATTTTTCTTTGCTCCCCTCCCTGCCTTTCCCCTCCCTTCAGCCCTCCCCCTAGGTCCCCATGCTCCCAATTTACTCAGGAGATCTTGTCTTTTTCTACTCCCATGTAGATTAGATCTATGTAAGTCTCTCTTTGTGTCCTCATTGTTGTCTGAGTTCTCTGGGATTGTTATTTGAGACAGGGTATCCCTATAGTCTTGGCTGACCTGGAACTCCCTGATACCCACCTGCCTCTGCTTCCTGAGTGTGGGGATGGAAGGTGTGTGCCACCATTCCCAGCTAGCTTGGATATTTTAATGATACTTTGTAATTTTTATTTTGTAATTTCATGTGGTTAGAAAGTTTTATGAACTTTCATGCAGTTTGCTGAAATTTATGCAAGAATCAGTTTTACTCTAAATAAATCTCCATGGAAACACTACTGTTGTGTGACTTTGCAGGTCACAGGGTTCCGCAGCTGTGACAGCACCTGGGAAAGTCAATTAATCGAGGCAGATTTGCTGACAAAGTAAAAATAAGTGTCTGAGGAAGTAGAGCCTGGTTACAGATGCCTGTAATCCCAGCACTTAGGATCTGGGGCAGGAGGACAGCCATGAGTTCCAGTCAAGCCTGGGCTACTCAGTGATTCTGTAAAATAACACATATCAGAATACTCATGGCATTTGCATTATCTAATATTTATTTTTTGTGAGTTAAGTTACCACTCAGAAGGCAGCAACGTACACATAAAATAAAGATATTAGGATGATGTAGTCTACCTACAAGTCTGCTTGAAAAGCCTGCTTGTGCCGGGTGATGGTGGCGCACGCCTTTAATCCCAGCACTCGGGAGGCTGAGGCAGGCGGATCTCTATGAGTTCGAGACCAGCCTGGTCTACAGAGCTAGTTCCAGGACAGGCTCTAAAGCCACAGAGAAACCCTGTCTCGAAAAACCAAAAAAAAAAAAAAAAAAAAAAGAAAAGCCTGCTTGTAATGTCTGCTTTCAAGGGTACAGACTTAAAAGTTGTTTTAAAAATGTTTTCTTATTACTGTTGTATTCTTCCCTTAATTAATAAATACTTGACATTGGCAAATCGATTACAGAGAAATATTTAATTAAGATACCATACCTCTCTCCTGTCATTTATTTAAAATGATATGTTCATGAGTGAGTGCAGCTTTGTGCAGGAGAGCGCAGGGCCTGAGGAGCCCAGCACCACCCGATGCCCTGGAGCTGAGTGTGGCTGCCAGAGGCGGCTGCAGCCTCTGCAAGAAAATCACAGTCTTAGCCACTGAGCTGTCTCTACAGCTGCTCTGCCTTTGTTGGTTTCCAAGACGCTTTCTCTGTAGCCCTGGCTGTCCTGGAACTCACTCTGTAGACCAGGCTGGCCTTGAACTCACAGAGATCCACCTGCCTCTGCTTCCCCAGTGCTGGGATTAAAGGCTGCACCATCACCGCCTGTCTTTGTTTTTGTGTGTATCATCTTTTGACAGTATCCATGCCTTTGAAACAGGCTTTCTTTAAAATAATCTTTTTAAATTCTATTTTTGATAGAAAAAGTTACGCCGATCACAGCATGCTCGTAAAGAAACAGAGTTCTTACGCCTGAAGAGGACCAGACTTGGCCTGGATGACTTTGAGTCTCTGAAGGTGATCGGGAGAGGAGCTTTCGGAGAGGTGAGCTGCCTTGTTTACGACACCACTGTTGAGAGTGGATGCTGCACTGTGTTGAAATGTAGTTCCTAGGCTCCGAGGTCACAGGCCAGTTGCTAAGAGTGCTTGCCTAGTATCCGCAAAGCCCTGCTTTTGACTCCGCCCCATGGAAACCAGGTGTGGTGGCACACCTCTGTATCCTCAGCACTTGGGAGAGGTGAAGAGTCAGAAGTTCAAGGTCATTCACAGCTAATAGTAAGCTCAAGGGACCCCTACTCTGTGTGTGTGTATGTGTGTGTGTGTGATCTCTTTGATGTTATCGATGGTAAATTCCAAGGCTCAATAAAGGAAGCTACTCTGCTGTCCAACACTTATGTCTGTGCTCTAGGTGCGGCTGGTCCAGAAGAAAGACACAGGACACATCTATGCCATGAAGATCCTGAGGAAAGCCGACATGCTCGAGAAAGAGCAGGTGTGTCTCCCCAGGGGCCTCTGTGAGAGGACTCAGAGCAGTGCTGGTGTTGGAAATCGTAGAAAGAAACCAGCTTGCTAGAGATTACTAAATTTATAGTCTGTTTTGGTGTTTTCAATGCGTAGGTTCAAATTCCAGTTTCTCCAGCTTTATAAATTCTGTGTTAGTTTGCACAGTTGCTGTTAGAAAATAACAGAGCCAGGCGGTGTGGCGCACACCTTTAATCCCAGCATTCTCTGTGAGTTTGAGGCAGCCTAGTCTACAGAGCTAGTTCCAGGACAGGCTCCAAAGCTACAGAGAAACCCTGTCTCGAAAAACCAAAACAAGGAAAGAAAAAAAAGAAAGGGAGGGAGGAAGAAAGAAAGAAAACAACACAGGCTGGGGCCTCAGACAACAGAAGCCATTACTTTCCGGTGGTTCTGTTCAAGGTCAGAAAGTTGGGTAGGTTTTAGTTTCTGATGGTTGCTGTCTCCTTCTGATGGCTGCCTTCCTTCGGGTACCACATTCCCTCTCCTGGTGACTGCTGGGAGCACAGACACGGGATTCCATGGGCACTCCTGTCTCCTCCTGTAGGAACGAACACCAGCCCATCCTAGCAGACAGGAATCCACCACTCTGCAGGGTTATAGAATCTGCTCACCCGTGAGGCTAAGGAGATGAGCTAAAGTAAACGGCTCCCTCGGTTCTGCATATTTAACAAGCACACGAGTGTCTGTGCTCCTGCGTGACTGGTAGGGGTGGGTCGTTGGAACGGGTCAGTTACCTTTTCAAAACACTCATGTAGGTGGCTCACATCCGAGCAGAGAGAGACATTCTGGTGGAAGCAGACGGTGCCTGGGTGGTGAAGATGTTCTACAGCTTTCAGGACAAGCGGAATCTCTATCTGATCATGGAATTTCTTCCTGGAGGTGAGTAGCGGTGGTTACAGACCTGAGCTCAAAGGCACAGGCAGTAATCACGTCAGCTAGTTTTACTACCGACTTAGTGAGTTTATACACAGCCACCAGTTTTCAGTATTTACTTCCAGAGTAATGGAAGGTGATCTGGCCACAAATCATGCCACTTTGAAGGAGTTGGGATGACATTTTATATGCCCCTATTGTGTGTTCATTGCAGCACACTGTAGAGTTAAGGAAATAGCCTGTATTCAGAAAGACAGAATTCTGTCCCTCGGTGGGCCTGTTCACTCTGTCTATCTGTCTAGCGCACTGTAGAGTTAAGGAAATAGCCTTATCCAGAAAGACAGAATTCTGTCCCTAAGTGGGCCTGTTCACTCTGTCTGTCTGTCTAGCGCACTGTAGAGTTAAGGAAATAGCCTGTATTCAGAAAGACAGAATTCTGTCCCTAAGTGGGCCTGTTCACTCTGTCTGTCTGTCTAGCGCACTGTAGAGTTAAGGAAATAGCCTTATCCAGAAAGACAGAATTCTGTCCCTAGGTGGGCCTGTTCACTGTCTGTCTAGCACACTGTAGAGTTAAGGAAATAGCCTTATCCAGAAAGACAGAATTCTGTCCCTAGGTGGGCCTGTTCACTGTCTGTCTAGCACACTGTAGAGTTAAGGAAATAGCCTGTATTCAGAAAGACAGAATTCTGTCCCTAGGTGGGCCTGTTCACTCTGTGCTCACCTCTGCTCCTCCCACGATAACGGCAAGTGCTCCCCGCTGACCCCGCTGCATGCACATTGCAGGGTGGTTTGAGGTATGGGGAAAGTCATAAACCTGCAAATCTGGCACAGTCTGTACATAAGAAGGAAGTCTGCAGAAGGTCCCCTTAACTGGGTGTGGGCTACCACACGCCCATCACGCCAGCACTAGGATTCCAGACAGTTGCTGGCATTCGTGAACAGTGGGCCTGCGACTGAGGCTTCTGGTCTCACACCAGCAAAGGTGAAAGCTGTTGACCCCTGTGGTGAGCAGAGCAGGAGGAGGTGTGAGGACAGTGAGAACCTGGGCTGGGTGCCGGGAGAGGAGCTGCATCACCAGTCTGCAGTCTCTGGGCCCTCTGCCTCGCGCAGGTGACATGATGACGTTGCTGATGAAGAAGGACACCTTGACAGAAGAGGAGACGCAGTTCTACATCTCAGAGACTGTCTTGGCCATCGACGCAATCCACCAGCTGGGCTTCATCCACCGGGACATCAAGCCAGACAACCTCCTACTGGATGCCAAGGCATGTGTGGAGCAAGCGAGTCCTCGGGCTTCTCATGCTGTGAGAAACCGCCCGCTCCTGGCTGCAGATAGCAGCCATAGTTAGGTTGTTTGGGGTTAACTAAGTTTTTCGGAGAAGGCACGAAAGTGACTGTTCTGGAATAACGTCACGGGAAGTGGCTTTTGAAAAAAATCTCCATTTCCCATTATTTATTTATTTATTTTGGGTTTGTTAAGACAGGGTTTCTCTGTCACTTTGTTGCCTGCCCTGGAACTAGCTCTTGTAGACCAGGCTGGCCTCGAACTCACAGCTCCTGCCTCTGCCTCCCGAGTTCTGGGATTAAAGGCATGCGCCACTACCGCCCGGCTCCATTTTCCATATTTTAAAAATTATCAAACATGCATAACCTCATGTTTCCAGCTATCTGTGTTTTTTTTTAAAGATTGATTTATTTAATATGTATACAACATTCCTTCCATGTATGCTTGCATGCCAGAAGAGGGTACCAGATCTCATTATAGATGGCTGTGAGCCACCATGTGGTTGCTGGGAATTGAACTCAGGACCTCTGGAAGAACAGTCAGTGCTCTTAACCTCTGAGCCATCTCTCCAGCCCCCCAGCTATCTGTGTTTTAAGTTAAGAATTCTTATAATGATTGCATTAAAGGAGTTTATAATAAGGCTTTTCCGTTTTCACAGTTAATGTAATTTGACTTGACTGGAATTTGTCGTTTTAGGGACACGTAAAGTTGTCTGACTTTGGTCTGTGCACAGGGCTGAAGAAAGCGCACAGGACTGAATTTTATAGGAACCTCTCACACAACCCCCCAAGCGACTTCTGTGAGTTCGCCTGTCTCCTTTGGTTAGAAATTTGTAGTTCTGAACCCTAGTTCTGCGAGGAAGCAAGGCTCCCTCCTCCCCTGAGTTGCCCGTGGTTTAGATGATTTGGGGTGCGGTTCTATATTTTGCCGGTTTGCCCTCTGACTGCGGTTCTGTCTTGTTGAAATCAGCGTTTCAGAACATGAACTCCAAGCGGAAAGCAGAGACGTGGAAGAAGAACAGGCGACAACTGGTGAGTGGCCCCGCAGACTCGGACTCGGGTGTCTCCTTCCCAGGCGGAGCAGGATGGGGACCCTTCTGGGTTCAGCTGTGCCTGGCCCGAAGCCCTAGGGTCACCAAAGGTCAGCGGGGACACACTGTCCATCCTCTCCTGCCAGTGAAGGTTAAGGACCAGACACGTGTGGGAGTGGGCAGAGCCGCAGTGTGTTTTGTTAAGGAGGATTTCAGAAAAGCGAGAAGCTTGGTAGAGTAGGGGGTGGGTGGCTCCTGAGAGGAGAAGCTGCTGAGATTCCTCTGTTAGGGCTGTGGCAGAAATTTTTTGCGGAGGCTGGCCGGTTGTCTGGGCTGTCATGGGCTGAGCCTGTGTCTCCTCCCCCTGGCCCAGCCAGGAGCTGATCATGGATTCCACTCATGCCGCCCATGCATTTAGCTGTGGCTGAAGCCACGCTCTGTTGTCTGCAGCCTTACTAGCTGCTGCCCACGATGGTCACCGTTGGGCACTTGACCGGCCTGCTGGCCTCCACCTTGCAGGATTACACTATGCTGTTGGTGTCCGTGGCCTTGGAAAAGACACTGCAGTTCTGCTTGGTTAACTGTCTGTGGGGTGATCTGGGGTCTCCCTCCTGAGACAGGTGGGGTTTCTCAAAGCTGCCTCTTCCTAATCTGAGCTAGAAGCAGGCAGATGTTAAAGGGCAGTCGAGCCCAGCGTACATGGCTGAAGGAGAGGGCCTCACGGAGTGGCAGCCACCACACTGGCCTTTCAGGTCACATGCTGGATCCCCTGGACTTTCTCATAACCATAGCCTTGTCTCCTCACCACCTACAGAGAACCACAGAGGAGACATCGCCTCTTCTCCTATAGGAGTGTTCTGTAACCTGGGGCGGTGTAACTCCTGTTACAACAACCACCAATCTTTAAGGTTAGCCAAGCGAACAGGAAGCTTGGGCTGTTGGCAGTGGTGCAGTGCTTCAGTAAGCAATCCTAGCCCCTAATGTTTAATTTCATGGCTGTCTCTCACCCTTTGTAGTGAATATAAGAATTGCTTCCGAGGCCTTTCCTCTTTTCATGTATATGGTTCACTGAGGTGTGAGCGTCTGCAGCTGGGAATTCACTGAGGTGTGAGCGTCTGCAGCTGGGAATTCACTGAGGTGTGAGCGTCTGCAGCTGAGAATTAACTGAGGTGTGAGCGTCTGCAGCTGGGAGTTAACTGAGGTGTGAACACCTGCACTAGGGATTAACTGAGTTGTGAGCATCTGCAGCTGGGAATTCACTGAGGTGTGAGCGTCTGCAGCTGGGAATTCACTGAGGTGTGAACGTCTGCAGCTGAGAATTAACTGAGGTGTGAGCGTCTGCAGCTGGGAGTTAACTGAGGTGTGAACACCTGCACTAGGGATTAACTGAGTTGTGAGCATCTGCAGCTGGGAATTCACTGAGGTGTGAGCGTCTGCAGCTGGGAATTCACTGAAGTGTGAATGTCTGCAGCTGGGAATTAACTGAGGTGTGAGCGTCTGCAGCTGGGAGTTAACTGAGGTGTGAACATCTGCACTAGGGATTAACTGAGTTGTGAGCATCTGCAGCTGGGAATTCACTGAGGTGTGAGCGTCTGCAGCTGGGAATTCACTGAAGTGTGAATGTCTGCAGCTGGGAATTAACTGAGGTGTGAGCGTCTGCAGCTGGGAGTTAACTGAGGTGTGAACATCTGCACTAGGGATTAACTGAGTTGTGAGCATCTGCAGCTGGGAATTAACTGAGGTGTAAACATCTGCCCTAGGGATTAACTGAGGTGTGAGCATCTGCAGCTGGGAATTAACTGAGGTGTGAATGTCTGTAGCTGGGAATTAGCTGAGGTGTGAACATCTGCCCTAGGGATTAACTGAGGTGTGAACATCTGCAGCTGGGAATTAACTGAGGTGTGAACATCTGCCCTAGGGATTAACTGAGGTGTGAACATCTGCAGTTGGGAATTAACTGAGGTGTGAGCGTCTGCAGCTGGGAGTTAATTAACTGTGGTGTGAACATCTGCAGCTAGGAAGGTAGCTCTGACTTTGTTTTCCTGGTCTCTTACAGAGCGCCCAGCACATGCAGAAACCTCATTTTTCAGTTCTAGTCAGCAATGACAAAGCTGCTGACTCTGTGTTCCTTTGGGGCGTGCTAGACCACAGCCTGGCACCTTTTGCATTTTGGGCTCATTTGCTTATTGGCCCAAGTAGCTGCAAACTTTGATATTCTAGTAAATTTTACCGTTTATAAATGTGTCCAGTCGTGCATTAAGGAGAAAACGTCATTCTGTTTTTGAATGTGTCGTTTTAGATAAGATGCTACATCTGAGAAAATATTACAGTCTTCCTATTTTAAAAGGGGAGAAGTGAATACTGCTTAACAGCTTATCTGAGGGGCAGGCGTTGGTGCTCCCCTGTAACTCCCTACTTAAGAGGCTGAGGCAGGGGCGTCCTGAGTCCTGAGACCAGCCTGGGCTTCATACTGAGACCCCATCTTAAAATATAAACAAAAACACGGCAGAGGATGTCTGTGTTTCCTACCAAGAGTCATCCTCGTGGGCCAGTGGCTCCCAAGGGAGAAGTGAGTTCATCCGTGTCGGTCAGGGGATCCCTTCAGCCCACCAACTGCCAGTTTTCTGTCCCCTGGTCCCTGAAGTGCCGCCTGCTATCACATTTTCAGTGGCTCTGCGATAGTGCCCCTGTGGAGAGCTGCCAGCTTTAAGGCTCATTTTATAGGATTTGATGTGGATCGAGGAGGAACATGCACATGGCTCCTGATGTGATGCGCTGGAGTTGAGCTCTAAGGAAGGGAGCTTACAGAGTGTGTTTTCTTGGTTTAGCCTCAGGTCAGACTGTTGTAGGTTCTTCCACCCGGAGCTTTGGTGAGCAGAAGCGGGGGCTCCAATGGTAGCTCACAGGAGTAGTGAGCAGGGAAGTCAGGCCCAGTGGGCGCAGCTTTTTCTTTCCTTTTGAAGTGGACAAGGGGCTTCTCCTTGGCCCAGAATCCTATGTTCTGTATGCAGTGCCTGACTCAGCACCTGTCAGCCAGTCCTACATGTGACACACAAAGGCACCAATAAGTGAGAACCTCCTCCTCTAGTGAGTGAGCCACACTCCTGAGAGGTTCAGAGTGCCAGTTTGACAAGCTGCTCCTTTGCAGGCGTATTCCACAGTCGGAACGCCAGACTACATTGCTCCGGAAGTCTTCATGCAGACTGGCTACAACAAACTGTGTGACTGGTGGTCCTTGGGAGTGATCATGTATGAAATGCTGATAGGTAAGTCCTGTTCGTGTGTGTGATACATGTCTGTTCATGTGTGTGATATGTATGTTCATGTGTGTGATACTTATCTGTTTTGGTACCATTGTTTGAACTTATTACAGCTATTAAAGGCAAAAATAACAGCGTTTTGAATCTGTTTCCCACATTCTTCAGTGTTAAATACATATTGATAAATAACCAATAAATTGCCCAGGGACCCTATGGCAGGGAAAGAATCATTTAGCTTGGCTTCCTTTATCAAAGGAAGGGTTTAAGGTGAAGGGTTAAGATGAGACAAGGCGGGACTTTGTTAGTAAATGTTATGGTAAAGTGGTGCACGCTGGTGTCACCTCAGAGTGCTCGGACTGTGTGTACCTGTAGGTCTGGCTGAACTGATCACCAATGCTGATACATTCTGTTTCCCTGATGCCCAGGCTTCCCACCTTTCTGCTCCGAGACGCCCCAGGAGACATACAGAAAAGTTATGAGCTGGAAGGAGACACTGGCGTTTCCTCCAGAAGTGCCCGTCTCTGAGAAAGCCAAGGACTTGATTCTCAGGTTAGTGACTTAAAACTTCCTAGGGTCCAAATGATCCATTTCTCGGAGGCAGGGCTGGTGTGTGGGGGAGAATGCCGCTGATCTGGTCAGTTTAAATAAAGGATTTACACAATTCAAACCTTTAAAAAAGATTTTATCATTTTTATATGTAAGTGTGTGGGTACCACTTGCTCATGGAGGCTAGGAGATCCCTTGGAACTGGAGTTACAGGTGGTTGTGGACCCAGGTCCTCTGCAGGAGCAGCAAGTGCTCCTAACTACTGTTTCTCATTCCCTACAAAATGACATGAATGACGCAGAGACTTCTTAGTACTGAAATCTGGGCCTGTAGCTTAGGCGTGTTCCTAACTAGTCCTTATAACTTAAATTAACACATTTATATTAATTTATGTTCTGTCCCGTGGCATTACCTCTCTTGTACCTCCTGTTTCCTTTCCGTGTCTCCTGGCTTCTCCTGCATGCCTAGATTCTCTTCCTCTTCCTTTCTCTCCCTGGAAGTCCCACCCATGCCTCCTGCCTAGCTATTGCTACTTTTTATTACCGCAATCACAGCACCAGATCTTCACACGGTGCACAGACACCCCACAGTAGGACACCCCAGTCACAGCACCAGATCTTCACACGGTGCACAGACACCCCACAGCAGGACACCCCAGTCACAGCACCAGATCTTCACACGGTGCACAGACACCCCACAGCAGGATATGAATTGTGACAACCCAGCCGGCAGCATATTGTGTAAAATTATCAAACTGCACATGACCTTCGACCAGCAGTTTTATTTCTAGGATTTAATAGAGCATATAACCACTTAGGGGCAAAGAGTTAGACATGCTTCTTGTGTTATTTTAGTAGTGAAAAGTCGGAAGTCATGTAAGTCTTCAGCAGCGGCGATGGATGTTACACTCCCATGTCTCCATACACGGGTCTCAAAAAAATCACCTCACAGGAAGACACTGAGCAGCATTGAGAAACCGTATTAGTATACGAAGTGGGGAAAGTCTTAAAATAATCATTAGTGTGTCAACGCTGTTTTTAATATTGTTACGAGAGATGAAGAGAAATGGCTCCGGAATATTGATGGGATATCTAAATCCAGAGTAAACTCAGTAAGAAAATGCTCCCTAAAAACATTTGAAGTGGTACATTTAGAGTGTTTTAAGTGAAAGATGTGACTGATAATTGGTTTCCTTTTCCAGATTTTGTACTGATTCTGAAAACAGAATTGGGAATGGTGGTGTAGAAGAGATCAAAGGTCACCCCTTCTTTGAGGGTGTAGACTGGGGGCATATCAGGTATGTTCTGAGGCCTGGGCTGAGAAAAATGAGCTTCTTGATTGGTGGTTCGTGTGCCTCTGATTTGTCTAGACCAGGGGTTCTCAACCTGTGGGTCATGACCCTTTGGGGGGTTGAACGACCCTTTCATGGGGATCACCTAAGACCATTAAAAACCACACATTTGCATCATGATTCATAACAGTAGCAAAGATACAGTTACAAAGTAGCCACGAAGATAGGGTTATGGGTTGGGGTCCCCATATAACCAGGGTGGTGGCACACACCTTTAATCTCAGCCCTTGGGAAGCAGAGGCAGGCAGATCTCTGTGAGTTCCAGAATAGCCTGGCCAAAGTGAGTTCCAGGACAGCCAAGGCTACACAGAGAAAAACTGTCTCAAAAGATAAACGAATAAGTAAAAAGAGTAAAAATTCTTTTTCTTCTAATTTTCCTCTCATTGGGTCTTGTGTTTTCTTCTTAAAAAAAAAAAATTGGCGTGAAGGGTTGAGGAGACTGTGGGTCAGCGGAAGAGTATTGCCCAGCTGTGTTCAGTCTCCAGGACTGCAGGGGAAAGCAGGAGTGTCTTCATGCAGAGTGTGAAACTTACAAGTAAACGCAAACGCTTTAGTAGAAAGTCACCTCAGCTGTCCTGACACCCACATAGCTGTGTTCAGATGCACAGCAGCCACCCTTGGTTTCCTGTCCCGTGCAGTGGGGGGCAAGGCTTTCAAGAACGGTTTGTTGGAGAGTTAAGAGTTCAAGAAGATTCACCGTGGCTGATGAATTGTCTTTTTCAGGGAAAGGCCAGCAGCCATCCCGATAGAAATCAAGAGTATCGACGACACCTCCAACTTCGATGACTTCCCTGAGTCTGACATCTTACAGCCGGTGCCGAATGCCGCGGAGCCCGACTACAAATCCAAAGACTGGGTTTTTCTCAATTACACCTATAAAAGGTTCGAAGGGCTGACTCAGCGTGGCTCCATCCCCACGTACATGAAAGCTGGGAAATTATGAGTGATGAGCACAGTCCCGCAGCCGAGAACTCAGGTAGCTGCCTCTGCGAGCTGGCGGCGTCAGCACCAGACACTCACCAGCCCGAGGAACTTCTACAGGGTCGGATTCTGAGACTGCTACTGGAATCGCTCGGCTTTTTTTATTATTATTATTAACTTTATTATACAAGGTACTGGAACAAGGAACGGACATTCCCTCCTAACTGCACGGCCTACGTGCATGTTGAGGTCCATCCCGCCACGTGCTGAGCTCCCCACTACAACACTAATCCAGCCAGAGCTGCGTAGCACTGACCGCACCGCGGCAGCCGGAGGTCACTCTCGGTGTCCCTGCTTCACTGCAAAGCGCATGGGTCTTGAATCAGTAAAAAGAAAAAGCCATCTGTAGCTGCTGCTAGAACATTCGCCCTGCTGGTTTGGACATCACAGCTCTAGGTGAAGACGGTTTCCGTGCCGGTCCTAAGGAACTGAAGGAGAAGTACGCTGAGCTCAGCGTTAGGATTTCCTGTCAGGCGCTCACACAGATCCCAGGGCAGGGAAGGTGAGCTTCTGTCAGGGTGAGGACGTGTCTGCCTCCCTCCAGCATCTGCCAAGGTTGACTGTGCTGAGAGGCGGTAGCCACTGTTTTACACACGCAGGGAGACATTTGTGCAAATGTCGGTTACTTTTCTTGTGACACGAGGACTTCTTTTTTAACAAGAGGACAGGCATTATTTTAACAGGGTGATGGTGAGTTGAGTTTCAGAAATGACCGTGAAAGCTGCTTGTAGAACCTAGAGTATTTTTATTAAATATTTTTTTAAATGTCAGACTTCTGATCCTGTCAGTGGACACGTGAAGAGCAGGAGTGTGCGTTCCTTCTTTGCTGGTGATGTTCGTTCCCTTCGATAGCATTAGTGTCATTGTTTGCCAATGAACCGAAGATCCGGAACAGTGGCTGTCAGTGCTGAGTGGAATTCTGCTTTCCAGGGGTGCCACACTCCATGGCGGACCCGTGGCAAAGGCCAGCCCTGTTCGTGGTTAGTTCATCAGTGTGGTTAAAGCCCTCAGTGGGGTAAAGGAAGCAAGTCCAGGCGGGGGGGGGCAGGGGAGAGGGGGGTTGGAGACTGGGTAGCATCAAATCCCTTGGGTACTCCCCTAATGACTCCATCACCCTTTCTTGCTCAGCATCTTGATTCTGAACTGACTTTCTGAAGAGGTTTAGTTACCTAAGCTGTTGTTGAGAATAACGTCTCAGCGAGTGAGTCATGTTTATCCTCTGTGATGGAGGTGGAGCAGGGATTCATCGGGAGCCGTGTCTCTCCTGAGGACTGAGCACTGTGATGGACGTGATGGAGGTGGAATGAGGATTCCTAGGGAACCATGTCTCTCCTGAGAGCATTGCTTTTGTAGCACCGCTGCTGGCTGTGCCGTCTTTCATCAAAGCCGACGGACGCGGTGGAGGGCTCATCTCACTGATGACGTTAACTAGCTGCCTTAATTTATGTGGGATGTATGGGTTTCTGCAATTCACTTGCTTCAAAGGTATTCAGCGGCAAAGGCCCCTGGCTGTGTATGGGCTTTACTGGTGCAGGGGTGAGGAGGCTGGATACAGAGATCTTGCTATGTTCTCCAGCTCAGATGCAATAACTGCCTAGCTACCGCAGGAAGACAGTGTTGTCCAGTGCAGGTAGCTCGGGAGGGTTGGGAGTGCTGTAAAGAAGAATTACTCGGCTTGTTTCCACCACGTAGGGACAGCACTTCTCTGACCTCCCTGTTGTGAGAAGCAGGTCTCCTGGTGGTGGAGGCCGTCTGGGAGGTTCACACACGATTCGGTCTTCAGGGATTTCTCATGAAATTCTTTCTTAAGCTACCGTCTACAGGCAACTAAAGACCGTGCCTGCCACTTGGAAGCTAAAAATACGAGTCATGGTGCAAATTAAGCAGATAATTTGTAAGGTGCCCTGAGACTGACTTTCCCCCTACAGATCCCCGTATCTCAGGTGAATCATGTAATGTAGGAGACAGAAGCCTGTGGCATTTTCTCTAGTCTCTAATCGGGTCAAAGAAGGTTTACCATGTACTCCATGGTTTGGGTTTCTCTAAGATAAAGAAAGTATGTATAATCCGGACTTACTGGTTTCCTGTTTTAATACGGTCTTTTGCTTTTTCATTGAAACCTTTGTGTCAGAGCAGTTACTCACAGCTGAGTCTGCAGGCGTGAAACCCTAGGCTGTCCGGAGCAGCAGCGACCACTTAGCCATAGGTGACCGAGCAGCTGTTAGTTCAGTGAAAAGGCAGCTGTGGGACATTAACAGCATTCGTTGGTCGCTAAGGCTTAAGATAGGGCTCGTTTATTCCCACAGCAGCACAGCTCTGTAAGACATGCATAGCTTTGTACACGCTGTCCACTGACTCTCGGTGTTCTGGTGCAGAACAGTCCATGCTGTCAGGAGTAGTAGCTACCTGTCTTTAAGGCCTGCGAGTAACTTAAGGGTCAGGTGAGAGTCCCTGGCTACCTGGCACATTCTCTCTTTGAATTGTTAAAATTCAAAAGCAGCCATTTTGCTGTGATCACGATTACTTGTCATTTTATTTAAAATTCCAGTGCATTTATTTCTGGAAAATCTTAGGAAGCCTACACTTAGTAAATATTGGGACTACTAGAAATATTTTAGATTTTTATTACAAAATGTGAGCAGGGGATGCTGCTTTAAAAGGAATAAAGAAATAAATGTGTATTGTAGTTATTTTTTTAAACCAATATAATTCAGCAGTTGTCCAGAACCGTCACGCTTCTGAGTCCAGCGTTTCGAAGTCTGTTGGGCAGCAAGAAGGGACAGCGAGAATAAAAACTATGTTTCTGAAAGTTCTCTTGGTGGGGTTTCTTTATTTCCCTTTGTGTGTGTGTGTGTTGTTGTTGTTTGCAGGTTGGTGCTATCTAAAACTTAAATACTATTTTGTGATTGAAATTACCAAATATAGCTAGTTCACCTGACGATCACGTCATGAGAATATCTTGTTCACCTGACAATCACGTCATGAAAAGGCTCAAGTATTTGGAGCCTGGATCGTATTACATTTAAACAGTCAAAACAGTTGACCAAGTGTGGGTTTAAAATTGTTGGGATCCATAGCTGAAAACACACAGGGAGTGGGAACGAGTGCAGGTGACACTGAGTGGCCTCACGGTAAGGAAATGACCCCATCACACAAACATGGAAGTGTGAACCCCTTTCATTCTGTGACTGTCATCCCTGTTGCTTTGTCCTCGGTCAGTCCTCACACAGCTTCAAGTTTTTAGGAACCTGGGGGTGCTGAGACATGGCTGAGCAGTCAGGAGTGAGCACCGCCCTCACAGAGGACCCACGCACAGGCCGCTCACAAGTCGCTTGTAAACTCTGGGGGATCAGATGACTGCGGCATCTGCAGTCACACGTCCGCGTAATTAGACATGGTAAAAATGACGTGCTGCAAAGGGCCCCGTGTGTGACCGTGTCAACTGTCTTAACTGGTACCCGGCCTGGTACCAGGGTGGGCCTCACTGTACATCCGTGGATACCGGAAACCAAACTGGGCTTCTCGGAACATTAAACAGATGAGCTCTTGTCACCTGCAAGCCTGGTCTGGGTCACACAGTGAGACCCTGTCTCGGAGGGAGACAGCGACAGCAATGGTCTTCAGTCTACAGCACTGCACTGGTCTGTCAGGGCCAGTGAGCTGCAGGCGGGTTCCCATCCTTCCTTCCTGACCTGCCTATAGGACTGGAGCAAGGAGAACCACTGTGCTGGGTTCCCAGATCCCCGGAGTCCTGTGCTTCTGTCTTCCCAGCTGCCGCTCTCCAAGGAAGGCTCATTCCCTCTAAAATGATCATGAAGAAATACGGAGTTCCCACTTAGTTCCTCGACCCAGTCCGGGGTGGGTGGCCCAACTACTGTCGACTCAGGTGCTGTGTCTAAATTAGGAAGGAGGGTGTCCACTAACCTTTGCATTGAAACGTCTGTAGTCAAAGACAACTGTTAAGTCCCTCCACTAGGACAAATACTGTTGGGCCTAGCTCTCTTTGTACTTGGTCTTGCTGGTAGAGTATTGTCTTGAGCAAAACACCATGACTGCTTCCAGAGTATCCAAACCCTAGAAAAATGTTAATTGAAGTGTACACGTTCTCTCTCTCTCTCTCTCTCTCTCTCTCTCTCTCTCTCTCTCTCTCTCTCTCTCTCCCCCTATCTCTCTCACGTGCACACACACATACACACACACACACACACACACAAAACCTTTTGATGATTCCCTCATTCTTTTAAAAGGAAAAACTTAAGATCTGTATGTATGAGTTTGTACAGTGTCCTCCGAGATGAGAAGAGGGTCGGAAGTTCACAGGTGAACTGCCCAGGGTTGCTTCTGAGAACTTAACTTTTGTCCTCAGGAAGAGCCGGACTTGCTCTTATCTACCGAGCCATGTCATCAGCCAGATTTTCTCATTCTTGTCCGATCTATACTTGACTATGGTTTTTAGGATTTTATTGTTCTCTTGCTTGGAGACATAATCTCCCCTTCCTCTACCCACAATCTAGATATAGGAAATCCCCATTTTTAACAAAGCCCTGCATCCTGGAGCAGATGGGACTTACTGGGAAGAACTTGGTAGTTCTCACCCTGAGACCAGAACCCGCAGTGTGGAGCTGAGACCAGGCTCTCCTGAGTGGATGTGGGGTTACTGCGCAAGTCTAGAAAGGCTACCGGTAAACTCTCCAGAGTGTGATCTGTTCCTTGCTGGTTACTGTGAGAGCAGCTATAGAAATTCACAGGCTGTGTGCAGTGGGTGAAGACCAACGCACCACAGAGCCCCACACTGTGGGCCCTACTTTGTAAAGACAATCTGCTTCAAAATGTTTGGGCTTTTAATAGAGACAACTCCAAAAACACTGAAAATCAGGATGACGCTTTGCTAAAGTTGTTTAGGTTCAAACTACCCAGTAGAACTTCCTAACTGTCCTCTGACGAGGTCTTCCTCCAATCCTTCTGCATCCCTGTTTCTCTCCCCCTCCCAGGACCATGTCCCCCCCCCCCCCCCGCGTCTTCTTTGCCACACCTCCCTGTCTGAGGCCAAACCCAAGCTCATCCTTATTTATCCCAGAAGCCCTTATTGGGTCTGTCAATCTAGACACGATGAAGATTTGAGCTTCCATTTCTCCATGGTGTTCTCTCATGGATATTTGTTATTTTTATGAACCTTGGACAATATCTTAGGTGTGATATGCTATGCTGTTGTTTGATCCTAGCTGTTGGGAAAGCCCTCCGAATCATGGCTGTAAAGAGGACTCCTTCCCAGGTGGGCAAAATAACACTAGCTTTACTCTGGAAGTTGATCATACAGGATCTTTAGCAGTGAAGCAGAATATTGCCCACTTGGGTGAGCAAGGCTTCCTGCCACACCAGGTCATTCTTGGGCTCTGAGCTCAGGACCAACCCATGTTGACCAGAAAGAACTAGCCAAGATTCTGTAAATTGGGTTTCAAAACTATTTTCTCAAAAATTTCCCAAGGGGAAAGTAAGGGATACTACTGGCTGGAAACGAGAAAGTACCTTTCTATCCTTAAGATAGGCTCTCGTGCAGCCTGGGCTAGCCTTGAACTAACTACAGCCGAGGATGACCTCGAGCTCCCCTCCCCCATCATCCAGCCTTCAGCTCTCCAGCACTGGGGTTGCATCCATGCACCACCAGGGTGGCTTTGTGGGGTTCTTAAGATCACATTCCCAGCCCTCCCCACACCCTCCCCTGTGGGGTTGAGACAGTCCCAGCCCAGGCTGGCCTCCAAATGAACTTGTAGCCAAGGATAACCTTGTCCACCACTCAGTCCTTCTACCTCTACCCCCAAGTGCTAGGATTACAAGTATTTACCCCAGCTATTATTTTTAAATAAAAAATAACCCCTTGTCTAGAAAAAAAGCTTCCAGGCATAAACACAAATAGGTTGTAAACCTGACTGGTGGGGCTGGGGGCGCCAGACAGGGCAGTGGCCCCAAGGACCCTGGCCTTGCCTGGGCCCACAGCCTCCTGCTTTCCTGGGGGAGCAGCTGCATTCTTCCCTTTGTTTTCAGGCTCTGGGAGACTGAATCATCATTTCGAGGAAGCAAGGCCTGTGGTGATTCAAGCTCACTGGGCGCCATGCCTGACATGAACTCCTGAGGAGACCTCACCTATTAATCTCCACACTGTTATCTATGAAGGACCTTGCCAAAACACTCTTTTTTTTAAAATCAGAGTATGTTCATTGCGCATAGTCCTGGGTTTCCTAAGGGCATTGCCATCCCGTCTCTGGACTGCTCTCTCAGCTCTGCCACCCGTCCCCTTTGTCCCAGTGCACAGGTTCTCTCTGTAGATACACGTCCTGAAATCTAGGATTCACGGTGTTTCCTGAGCCTGACAATCCATCCAGGACGGTTATCTCTGTCTGGTTTTCCTGCACGTGACACAATCCTGTCCGCTGTGGTTGGACAGAATTCCTCTGTGCATATATTACCACATCACCCCGTCATTCGTTGGCAGACGCAGGCTGGCTGCAGCGCTAAACTGCATGAGGGCTGCAGTAAAGGTGGATGCTTCAGTGTCTCCGGGACGCGTTCCCCTGGTGGTAGACGGGTCGTCTAGACGCTTTATTTTAGTTTTAAGGCCTCGATATGCTGAGTCCCACAGTGGCTGGGCTAGTTACGTTCCCACCAGAAGTATATTGGGGCCCCCTCTGCCACATCCTTCTGAGCGACGGCCATCGTCTGTTCTAACCGAGTTGAAATCTCAGCATAGTTTGAATTTGCATTTCTGAGCACTTTTTCATGTTTCTTGGCCATTTGTACCCCATCTTTTGAAAATCGGCTATTCATTTCATTAGCTCACTTATTGTTTGGGCTTTTAAAAAAGATTTGTCTTTATGTGTGTGAGTGTTTTGTCTGAGTGTTATTTATGTGTACCACGGGAACCTGTGGAGGTCAGAAGAGGGTGATAGCTGACCTCTCTGAACCTGGAGTTCTGGTTGTAAACCTCCATGTGGGTGTGTTGACTGAGGTTTCTGTCCCACCAGGTCCCACAGCCCTTTAGTCCCAAATAAACACACAGAGGCCTACATTAATTATAAACTGTTTGGCCTGTTAGCTCAGGCTTCTTATTAACTAATTCTTACATCTTAAATTAACCCATTATTCTTGTTTATGTCAGCCACGTGGTTTGGTACCTTTATCAGTGAGGCGTTCTCATCTTGCTTCTTTTGTGTCTCTGCGTGTGACAGGGAATTCACTTGCACCCTGTGGTAGCTAAGAAGGGCCACACCTTCCGCCCTCTGGACCCAACAAGAGTCTGCGGCTGAGTTCTCGGAGACCCAGGTGGCCCGTGCCAAACCCTGGCGTTTTCACTGCTGTTGCTTTACCTAGGCAGACTGTACCCAAGGAATCCACCTCGCGACCAGCGGGCTGGAGCCAGTGTGTGCTGGGGGTACCTGCGTAGCGTAGGATGAAGGGAGGTGGAGAGCTCCAAGGAGCCTTGATTGCGTATGTGCCTAACTGTTGCAGGAGTCCCCGTGACAGCTGTTAACACCCACACCCGAAAGTCCACAGCTAGGCGCTTGCCTAGAGCCAGAAAAGGGCCCGGCCCGCGGACCTGTTCTGGTACCACTCAGGGGTCTCCCCTATCCTCCACCTCCCGGGTCCGACCGCCTCCCAGGGCGTGCCGGCCGCAGCCTGTTGGCTGGGGCAGGCGGCTGAAGCTCCGCCTGTGCGGATGCCTGGTCCCGCCCCGAGCCGGCGAGGGCTACCAGAGCAGCGGTGGCCGAGCACGCGCCCGGCTCCGGGTGCGCCCGGATCGCAAATGGGAGTCGCGGGGCTGCGGGGCTCGCGATGGCTGTAGCCAGGGCTGAGGCTCCAGGTGAGTGGTTTTCAGGGACCCCCGACAGCACCGGCGGGGGGTCCCCGATTGAGAGCCGGGTCTCCCACCCCTTGCTGGGGAGCCCTGATGGTGAAGACAGGGTCCCCCGGCCCTATACTGAGAGTCCCCGGATAGTGAAGCTAGGATCCTTACTCCATGCAGTAAGTTCCTGCATGTCTAAACCAGGGTCTCATCTGAGGGCAGTGGGTCAAGGCAGTGGGTGGCCGCAGCCTCAGCTCAGGTGCAGCGCCTCGGAGACTGAGTCCCGGGTGCGGGGTCGGGTCCCGGCCGCGCCCTGCAGAGGGTGAGCTGTGTGCACAGTCCCCCGCGCCCGGCGTCTGTATCCTCTGCATCCGGCGGCTCCGGTTTGTGCCTCTCTGAAAGAAGCAGCGGGTTCCAGGGTGCTGCAGGAGGCTCTCGCTGCGTCCCAGTGCCAAGTCCTGGTCTGGGGAGCGTGGGGAGAGCGGGCACCCTGGCAATCTCATTTTAGCCTCGGTAGTAAAGCTGGCAGTGGGATTGGGGTGGCGGGTGGGGGAATAATCCCTTTATCTTCCGGGGCCAGGGGTCGAACCCAGGACTCCGGGCCAGCGCTGTAACCTCAACTTGCTCATTTTCGTTTTGTGAGTCTTGTTGGGGGTTTAGCCTCATTTGTCCTCTCTCGCTCTTGGGTAAAACTTGGAGGTGTCTTCCCTGGAACACCGCGGCCATTACTTGACAGATGATAATCGTAAAAAGCTGTTACTTAAGGCAGGTGGGAGACAGAAGAAAAAAAAAAAAAAAAAAAAAAAAAAAAAAAAAAAAAAAAAAAAAAANAAAAAAAAAAAAAAAAAAAAAAAAAAAAAAAAAAAAAAAACAAGTAAAAGCTGGTGCAGAAGTCAAGAGGCCGATATGACTCCGGGCTGACTGATGGAGTGGTTTCTTGCTGGGTAGCCCTCGGCTGGCCTGGAACTTGCTGTAAGACCGTCTCAACCTGGACCTGCTTTCCAAGTGCTGACTGCAGGCCTGTCTCTACCTGACTGGTGTGATTTTAATAAACAGTGGGGAGTCTGTCTGTGGCCTTTCAGAGGCCTCGTGTGGAGCTCAAAGCAGTTTTGCTGAAAGAGGGTCCCTTCCTCACTCTCCCCTGGGTGCCTTAGTTTCCTCCCTGTAAAATGGGGCTGATGACTTCCTCGGCCTCTAGGGCCTGTGGCTGTGAGGGGTAACAAGCTACAACAGCATTTGGGATGCTTAATGCGGTCCGTGAGCACCAACTAAACACGTCTTTTAGTTTAGGGTCACTTGCCCACTACGCGAGAGTCATCTAAGTGTGGAGCCATTTCGGCTCTACTGCGGAAATTTGCAAAACAGGTCCTTATGCCAGATACCAAGCAGGGTCCTGCCTTTTTGCCTGCAAGCCCTTCAGTTTGGAAATAAGTGCTCATGGGAAAACAAAAGTTAAAAACTACTCCTGCTGGATTGTAGGACAACATACAGTTCAGCTTACATTGTATGAAATAAATCACGACTACGGGGCTGCTTTGAAGTTGTCCACAAAAAGTGAAGAGGAGCCAAACATAACTGCTTGCTCCCTTACCGTTTCATGGGACCAGCTTGTGGGGTAAACGCTAAGAATGAGCCTGCTGCCCAGCGGCTGGCTTCTTCCGGGGAGATGGTTCCAGAACCCGTGGAGCTAGGGAGAAGGCCCGCAACTGCAGTGGCTCAAGTTCATGTTCATGCCTCAGAAACCCAAACTGGTGTCCCATTCTGCTTCGCCTAAGCTGCTGTTCCTGGTGCGTCCTCCAAAGTTTCTTCCAGGAATGCCTCACACAAGCTACTCCAGGATGGGCTGGGTACTCTCAGCATGGTGAAAGCGGGAGCTTCTCAGGCGCGTGGGATCCAGGTCATGAGTCAGCCCCAGAGCGCACTCAGCACTATCGGGGACTCAGTGCTAGCCTGCCTGACCCAAGGGAAGCTGAGGCACCTGCCTGCCCTGCCCCGGTGTGTGCCAGTCTGTGTGTGCCCTGCTCCTCCCCGCTTTCAGAATCTAGCGCCGCCTCTGGAAGGTGGGGACAGTAGGGGCTTCTGCTTCATGAGATCCCCGGAATTAGGTGAGGTCGAGGTGCATGGGAAGGGCTGGACAAAGAGCTCCACGGTGAGGAGCAGAGGGCCTGAGTTCAGATCCCAGCACTCATGTGGGGTCTCACCACCCTCTGTAACTCCAGATCCAGGCAGACTGGTGCCCTGGCCTCTTGGGTCACAGAGGGCACACAAGTGGTACATGGACATCCATACAAGCGAAACACTCATATACAAAACTCACACAGTCTTGCAGAATCTGCTGGGTATGTTTTTGCAGTGTGTGTGTCTGTGTGCATGCGTGTGTGTGTGTCTGTCTGTCTGTCTGTCTGTCTGTGTGGTGGTGGTGCTGCTGCTGCTGCCGCAGATCAAACCCAGGACCTTGTGCCTGCCAAGCTCATGCCCCACCACGAGAGAGCCCCACTCTCAAGGCCTATGGGCTCTTGAATCCTGGGCCACAAGCTTCGTTTCTTTCCTGTTTGTTTATGGTAGAGATCTGCTTAGGAAAATCATTTTTACCAGCTGAGTGATTTTGGCTAACTTATTTTGTTTCTCTGAGCTCCAGTTTTATTTATAAAATTGGACTAAAACCCCTGACTCCACGGGTGGTGGCAGTGACCGGGTACGGCTGTAAGCTGTGTGGAAGGTTCCAGCTTCCACACATTCTAATTTCCCTTTCCCTCATGACCCCAGGACATTGTCTCGGCCACAGAAGCCCCTCCGAATTCCTATTTTCACACCGCAGTGTTTCTGTCTTGCTCTCCTGTCTGTTTGCCGCATGTTGCTTGTGCTGGTTTCATGGCTCCACCTTCGGCAGGCCGGTCCTACAGAGTTGGTCCCATCCTTCCCATCTCTGATTCCTTTTCCTATCGAGTGCCTAGTGTAGTTCTTAAGTGAATGAAACTTTGCTTAAGGTGTGGGCAGGGCTGGTTCGTTCATGAAAGACCCAAGTATGTACTGTTGAAACCAGAGTTCAGCCTAGAGAGGTCAGTAGTGGCTTAGGCTGAAGGAGAGCTTACATTCCTGGCTTCTCTCCTTAGGAATGTGTCATAGAAGAAATGACTCAGAAACTGGTTTGTTCTGGCTTTCGGTTTGAGGGGACACAGCCCACCACAGCAGAGAAGGCATGGCGAAAGAAGTGTGAGGCCACTGGCCATCTTGTGTCCACAGGAAGCAGAGAGCAGACAGGAAGTGTGGCCTGGCTATCAAACCTCAAGGCCCGCCCGCACTGACCTACTTCCTCCAGTGAGAGTCCACCTCCAAAGGGTCCACCACCTTCCAAACAGCGCTACCATCTGGGGGCCAAGTGTTTGAGCGCATGAAGCTATGGGGACATTTCACGTTCAAACCACAGCAGAAATGGGCCGCCGTTATATCGTATTGACAAGACAAAGCAAAACACAATAGGCTAACCACTGAGAATAAGGCCCCCTCTCAAAGCTGGGGAGACACTGTCTAATTCACGAAGAGGGAGCACTTTAGTATCTCGCAGGGAGGAGATGGTGCTGTGTTCAGGGGACAGAATAGGAACAACGGAAAATGGCGGGCGACTGGAGGATGCAGCATTTGCATTCTTTCTGGAAAGGAAGCCAGCTTTGCTAGAGTTGCCTCGCTGTGTGGCGTTAGAGTCCCCGCCGTGTGGACAGTTAACCCAGTAAGTCCGTTTGAGGGGCAGAGGTTTTCCAGAATGAAAGACACGTGCACCTTTTGTTGTGTGGTTCCTGGTTGGCAGCAGCGCGCTCATCACCCTGGACGAGGAGTGAGCTGAACCTGAGGCTGGGGGCGAAGGCGGGAGAGCAGAGGGATGCCTCTCACACGGGGTGGGCGTGTTGGCCTGGCCGTCCTTCCGCGTGCATCTCCCGCTCATTCTCTTGGGTTTTCCAGAAAAGCAACTACTCACGTCTTTCAGGCTACTTCCCACTCCTTCTTTCAAAAGCATTCTCAGAACTACTTAGTTTGTCCCCACGACAGCCTTTAGGGAAGCAGGTACCTGCCCCTCCCTGTCTGTTCGCAGCACAGGCCACGCTGGCCTTGAACTCGGGATCCTGCTGACCCATCCCCCCCCCCCAGTACTGTGATTGGCGGTACAGGTGTTTGAAGCTCGGATGCCGTAAACACGGTTGACATTGTTGAATACCCTGTAGACATCTAAAGGGACAGAAGATTGTCGGGGCTCGAGGGGTGTTCTGGTAAAATATCAGGTGCGACACCCCAGCCTCCAGGCCAGCTTTCCTTCTCTGCGTGTGTACCAGCTCCTCGGCTGGAGAACTGGACTTCTTCTCTGAGTTTACACGGCAGACAAAGGTCAGTTACACTTGTGTTACCATGGAGACAAACAGGACTGCGCCCTAGCAGGCTGCTACCGCTTTAACAGGTCTCCCAGGCAACCACATTGCTTTCAAGGAAAGCGACCAGACCCAGCTTCCCTTGTGTCACGGTGCTTTAGGGTTCCCTAGACATCAGCAAATAGCATTTCCTTAAAGCGTTAGCACGTCTTTTTTAAAGTTTCTAATTCACTCGTTTATTTCTTGTGTGTGTGAGTGTGTGTGTGTGTGTGCACGCGCTTGTGTGTGCACATGGCACGGCACACTTGTGGAGGTCAGAGGATAAACTCTCAAGAGTCAATTCTTCACTGACCGTTCCAGGGATCAGGCTCAAACCTCAGGTGGCTGCAGCAGGTGTTTCTACCCACTGAGCCGTCTGTCTGGTCCTTATTACTTCCTGTACACAGTCACCACAGTTACCTCTGGGACAGGTGACAGGAAGCAAAAGGGCTGATGGGAAGGGGGCGTCAAATCCACACCTCAGAATTTAAGATGCTTCAAGGGCAAGCTATTTAGAGGAAGATTTAGAAATGATTTGTTACTGATTTCTCAAAGAGCTGACAATAATTTTAGATTCTTGGCATCACTGTTACTATGGAAACAGTGGTATTAAGGATGTAAATGATAGGGTTATTTTATTGCTTTTAAAATATTTGTTATGCTGGGTTTGGTGACCCAAACCTGCAAACACACACCGGCAGGTGCAGAACTCAGCAGGCTGAGGCAGGAGGATTTCAAGTTCATGGTCAAGTTCAAGTTTTGCTTGAAGATCCTATCTGAAAACAAACAAAACAAATGCACGCTAAAGACGTTCCCACTGTTTCCTTTTCGGGCTCCTTCATATTTTTATAATAACTGACTATCTTTGAATTGGCGTGCGAATGTTTTTATGAGTACTGATAAATTCCTCTTCTGGCTCTCAAGTTTAACTGGCTTGGTAGAGCCATCCACCACGGCCTGATTCACTAACATTAATTATCCCATTGGCCAACAGAGGTCTTCTGTTTGCTCAGAACCTGAGGGAACTGTATTTGTGGGGCTGGGTTTCTCAGGGGAATCTGTCTCAGAGATCTGCCCTAGGCCTTTCAGAAAGCCCTGCTGACATTGGCCTGCCGGGCTGCTGTTCAGTGTGGGGCTCACCAGGTCTGGGACGGGTTGGCTTCTCTGAGGTTCCGAGAACTGCTTTGTCCTGCTCTTGTCTGACCTGCGGTTAGGCGGAATGCTTTTTCTAAAGCCATCGTCAGAGAAATGCTCTTTGGGCTGTGTCACTCTGACTGGATTCTGAATCACAGCTCAGCGGTTTCTCATGACTCCGTGGCTACAGTCCTCCTCGCTGGTGCTTGCTTCCACACCGTGCCCCCCACCCCCATAAACACCCAGTACACCATCTCAGGATCTCACAGGATGCTCTGAACACTTCCCGAGTTGTAGCTCACCGGCTCTGCAGTAGCTGTCTGAGGACATACATAGCTGAGGAGCTGAGAACTTAGGTTCCGTCCTAAGGGAAAGACTGCTGAGCCAGAGTCTGAACCCAGGCAAGCTGGCCTCCAGAACACGTAACCTTTCCGCCTGACCTTGGATTACATTCCTTCAATACCTGCAGTCCTTCCGACAGTGCCATTTCTGCGACCGTGCTGATAACTAAAATGGAACCTGTCTGTTGGCCGGAGAGTGGAGTGCTGGCTGGCCTCCGGGGCTTTGAGGGATTCTGAACAATTTCACCTAACAATGGGGTGATGTTGGGCAGATGCACATGTCCGGGCACAGCCAGAGGAGCAGAGATGCCAGAGCCTTCTTACAGTGACTGGCAGGGAGCTGGCATGCAAGGTGGTGCAGGGAGCTAGGCCAGCCTGGAACCTGCAGGGTGACTGTCTGCGGGCAGGCTGAGGGTCTCTGCCGCTGCTGTCCCAGGGAAGCTTCAGGTGTGTCCCAGGCCCTTTGGAGTAGATCAGGTCCTTCCAGTCTACCTGGGAGCATTTCCTTGACCATAGTGCACCCGTGATGGGGATTAGTCAGATCTAGAGGTCATTGTTTGATCGTGCTACTGAGAACTGTGGCTAACCCAAGCAGACACAGCAAAAACAAACAATAAAAATATAATTGCTGTGAGTTTTTCCGTTTCTCTTTGCCTGTTTCTCATGTGTCAGCAGCTGCGAGCACCCGTGGGGTCAACCGAGGAGAGACCGAGAGTAACAAAGTGATGTTACCCAGGATCTGCTAAGCCTGCTTCGGGAAGATTGGGTTACAAAGGCAGAATTTAGCCAAAGGTGTGCTCGAGGCAAGGGAGTACACTGACTTAAGATCGCTGAGGAGGGATTTCTGTGGAGATTGCTTGCCAGCACGCCACCAATTAAGTCCCCTTCCCATAACAGTTAGTCATGGCTGCAGGCCACTGGACAGGATAGTAGGTTTGGCCTCCTCTGAAGTACTTGGCCAGACTCAGTGTACATGAAGCTCCTTGATATGTTTCTGACCCGACTGGCTCTTAAAGCGGCTTGCACACCGTGCTGGTGGTGTGGAACGGGAGGGAAGGCCCATGTCATTGCCAAAGGAGGTCAGTGAAACGAATTCCGCTACAGTCTTGGCCGTGTCTTCTGCCTCCCTGACACACTCAACATCAAAGACCCTGGGTGAGGTCTGTCCTCACTTCCTCCCGCTTGATCTCGTCTCTGAGATGTGGCAATTGCTCTTGGTGTGCACACATTGCCAGATCTTGACTTTTTCCTTCAGTCCCGTGGCTTACAGGAGAATGCTAGGGGATCTGGTCCCAAGGTTGATAGTCAGATGGGATTTCCTGTAGCCCAGGCTAGCCTCAAACTTGTGATCTCCCTGCTCCTGTCTTCCCAGAGCTGGAATTGTAGGTGTTTGGGTCACACTCAGCCACTGGGCCGATGCTGGCTCGGGGGCGTGCCGTGGCCCTCCACACCATGTTCCAGATCACCTTCTAAACAGTTACAACAATTTTTGCTCCTACCAGAGTCCTGGATACGATGGGACCGGCTCCTTTTCTCCCCCTCGCCCTCCCTAAGGCTCCTTGGTCTGTATTTTTCAGTATTAATTGATTGATGGGTGTCAATCACCACAGCATAAAGCCTGTCTGTTTCCACTGTTGGGTTTTGTGGTACTGAGGATGGAACCCACGGCCCCATGCATGCTAGCCAAGTGCTCTACCACTGAGCTGCGCCCCTAGCCCTGTGTCTCCATCATGAATTCAGTGATTCTCGGGTTGCTTGTAATAGTCTCTCCCCTCAGAGGGCCACAGCGAATCACAGTCGTGTATTTCAGAGCCAGGAAGCAAGGCTGCCATTTCTGAGCCCCTTACTGTTTCCGCCGCCTCCATCCTGGCTGCCTCTGGGCCCCGTGCTCTCCGTGTACTTGTTTCAGTGTCACACGATAAACTCCCAAAGGTGAATGAACACGCATATTTCATGCTTGAATTCTCTACATTCAAATAAAGGAGATTTCTCATCCCGTCGTGTTTCTCTTAGCTGAGTTTTCAGACATCAAGACAGAGCTACTGTATGAATTGTGTGATACGATGATCATGCATAAGGTGAAAGTCAGTGTCTGAAACCCTCCTCCTTGCTTTCTCACTCACAGGTAAAGGGCCGGTAGACAGCCACAGCCATGCTCTTATGGTTTCTAGTCACATGCTGAAACTCACGGCTCCTGGACCTGCCAGCGCCCTTGTAATGGAGGTTCCGAGGAAACGCAAGGGAAGTGACTCGGACCTGGCCCAGTGAGTGCGGGTTGTTCCAACCCCATGGACTCTTTCAGTCATTTCCAAGTCTGCGGCTGCGTGGCAGCTGGTCACTGCCTACTGTACCTGTCCCTGATCTTGCCTTCCAGGACTGGTGGTGAGGGCTGTCCAGGAAGGTCAGCCAGAATCTGAATGAGATGTCGGTGTATAATCTATATCAGTATGTAATGTTCATGGTCACGGCTAACTCCCCTCTTCCCTTATCAAAACACTGCACCAGGAGCAAAACATTCGTGCATGTTTGTCTCCTGTCAGTTCACTGGCCCCCCCAACCCATCGGTTACAGAATAGCCTGGTGATCTGCACTCAATTTAATCTCATAAAGCTCTTGCTTCCCTAGCTACTAAGCCAGCTAGATAATGAAGATCTCAGTGTTTGCTTGTTTGTGTGTTTCTGGGAATAAATCCAGGACCCCAAGCGAGCTAGGTAAGATGTGTGTCTCTCAGCCACACCCCTATCCTCACTGGAGGGGCTCTACCACTGAGCCACACCCCTATCCTCACTGGAGGGGCTCTACCACTGAGCCATTCTTCAACCTGCCCCTCTCTCCTATGCACCTTGTAGCCTGAGATGCTTTCATTAGCCCCCCAGAGCTAGGTTTATACAGTGAAACCGTTTGGACAACTCTTGGGATAGCGCTGTGTGGGAGTGGGAAGGTGGGGTCAGTTTCCCACCCTCCCAGAAGGGCGACTTCTGAGTTAGAGAGGAGAGTACGAACAAGCTTCCCAGGTCTGTTTAAGTTGGTTCTCACCAGGATCCTCCATCTTTTAGCTTTGGTCCCCAGGACAGTGATACTGGTGTGGTTCAACCATAAGCCTCAAAGAACTTCTCCGGTCAGTCGCGTATGACTGGGAGATTTCTGCCTGGTTTGACTCTGTATTCTCTACTTCTCACCCATTAACAAGATGTACAGGATAAGGGCAGCTGGCCAAGGACAGTTACCTTCATCTGGAAATATCAGCTGGTAACAAATGAGAGTTCCTACTAGGTGTGCATGAGAGAGAGAGAGAGAGAGAGAGAGAGAGAGAGAGAGAGAGAGAGAGAGTGTGTGAATGTGTGTGTATGTAAATGTGTGCATGTGTGAGTGTGTGCATGTGTGTGCTTGAGTGTGTGGGCCTGTGAGTGTGTGTGCATGCATGTGTGTGAGTGTGTGTGAGTGTGTGTGTGAGTGAGTGTGTGAGAGTGTGTGTGCATGAGTGTATGTGAATGTGTGTGAGAGTGTGAATGTGTGAAAGTGTGAGCCTGTGAGTGTATGTATGTGTGAGTGTATATGTGAGTGTGTGCATGCATGTGTGTGTGTGAGAGAGTGTGTATGAATGTGAGAGTGTGTGAGAGTATGAGTGTGTATGTGTGTGTGAGTGTGAATTGTGTGTGAGCCTGTGAGTGTGTGTGTGTGCATGCATGCATGTGTGTGTGGCTTTTTTGTTTTGTTTTGGTTTGGTTTGGTTTTTGGTCTTTTTTGCTTTTTGAGATTCAATTTCTATATGTAACACTATCTAAGCTGGAACTTACTATGTGGCCCTTGTAGCTCAGGCTGGCCTTGAATTCAGAGAGGGTTTTCCTTCCTCAGTTAACCCTTTCCAGGAATAGTCTTGTAGACGAGCCTGGAGGGTGTCTCCTAGGTTATTCCAAGTCCTGTCAGGTGACAGTGAGCTGCACCATCCCAGGAGTGAGCCAAGGCCTCCTTCCTTCCTGGTCAGAATCCATGACAGGAACCACAGTGGGAAACCTTCCCCCTTGCCCCTTCACCTGTCTTCTTTCATCAAGAACACATCCGGCTTTGGATGGACAGCTGATTCTCTCAAAGGATCTTTGAGATCTTTGAGGTCTTGTGCTATGTAGCCATTCAACATTTATTAAGAACCTACTATGTAGGATAAAGAGATATCTCAGCAGTTAAGAACACTTGTTGCTTTTTCTAAGGATCCAAGTTTAGATCTTAGAACCCACAAGTGAGTCGCAGCTGCCTGTAACTCCAGCTCCAAGGAATCTGTTGTCCTCTTCCTGGCCTCCAACCTGCACGCACACACAACACACACACACACACACACACTCACAGAAACAAATAATAAAATGTTTTTTAAAAAGATTTATGTATATGAGTGTTTGTCTGAATGTATATATATGCACCCCATGTGTGCAGTTCCCACAGAGGCCAGAAGAGGGTGTCAGATCCCTGGAATTGGAGTTACAGGCAGTTGTGAGTCACCTGTGAACAAGAACAGCAAAGGTCTTAATCACTGAGCCATTTCTGTAGCCCTCAAAGAAACAACACCCCCCCAAGAAAACAAACCTACTATGTGACAACACATGGAATTAAGAGGTGGAGAAGCAGATGAGACCCGTTGTGTTTTAGAAGGAGAGCAATATCCAATGGGTGAAGATTGTTGAATGGCAATTCTGAAAGTGTAGGTAGCACAAACCAGCTGAGGAAAACATCAAGAGGAAGCTCTGTTTAAAGGGCTTTGGGGGCAGTGCAGGGCCCCAGAGTGAGGCTGGTGGGGGCTGAAGAGAAAGAAACGCAACTGTGGAATGATAGAATATATATATTCTACCGAGTTTCATGACTGTTTGGCCATTTGAGGAAAAGAACAGGTTGAGAATAAATCTCCTTGTGCCACCAGCCAAGGGCCACCACATGGAGGGAGGAGCTCGCAGGACTGGAGGAGGAGTCTGACGGGGCAGATGAGGGGATGCCTGTGGTTTGCATTTTCTTTAGTTGCAGATTTCTTGGTAAGTGTTCAGGGGATGAACTGCTTCCAAAGGCTGGAGGGAGAAGGTAATGACAAACCAGGGAGCCACAGAGCCTTAGGAAGGGGGCTTCTCTTAGGGAGCTCTGCCTCTGGGAACCACGGAGCCTAGGAAGGGGGCGTTCTCCTAGGCCGCTCTGCATCTTGGGAGACAGGGACCAAGCAGAGGATCATGATGACACCAATATTTAGGGAGAAGGGAAGCTGAGTCTAAGGTGCTGGGCTGAGCAAGGAGAACCAAGCAGGATGAGAAGCAGGACCACAGAAGCCAGGGGGAGTGAAGACCTCCAAGATGGCGGGGTGTTCAGGGGCAAAGACCTCAACCTGACAACCTGAGTTCCAGATCCTGTGAAAGCTGGAAAGGCCCGGCTCCACAGAGTTGTTGTCTGAACCCAGTCTGTGTGCTGCGGCAGGTACCCCGATAGTGATGATGGTGGTGATGGTGATGATGATGGTGATGATGATGATGGTGGTGATGGTGTTGGTGATGATGGTGATGATGATGATGATGGTGATGGTGGTGATGATGATGGTGGTGGTGGTGATGATGGTGGTGATGATGATGATGGTGATGGTGATGGTGATGATGGTGATTGTGTTGATGGTGATGATGATGATGATGGTGATGGTGGTGATGGTGATGGTGATGATGGTGTTGGTGATGATGATGATGATAATATCCTCAGAATGGAAGACTTAGGGTCAAAAACCACAGCAACAACACTAGAATCAGTGCTGGTGTCTGTCAGAGCAGGGCTCGAGCACTTTCTAGAATGGGAGCTGGATGGGAATGAAGTGAGGTGACAGCAGTGTCTGGTCAGCTCTGATGTGTAGAGGCCACATGCTGTTCCACAGGAGGGAGGGGGACTCCTGTGTAAATGCAGCCACACCCTGAGTGCAGTGGTTCCCAGCACCTCAAGTGCCTCTGAGCAAAGGGGTGAACATTAGCCCCCCCCCCCCCGCCCGCCCAGGGACGCTCACAGCCAGATGGAAAAGCGACGGAGAGACAAGATGAACCATCTGATTCGGGAGCTGTCCTCTATGATCCCTCCACTCAGCCCCACGGCCCGGAAACTGGACAAGCTCACTGTCCTGAGGAGGGCGGTGCAGTACTTGCGGTCTCTGAGAGGTGAGTAAGGACACGGCTGCTCCAGGCTGGGCATCATGGTCTCCATACAGAGCACGCTGTCGGTCTGGGGTTGGTCCTGGCTGTGATGTCTGTCCACCTTACCACGCCCTTGCAGAGTTGTACCCCTTGGCTTCATGTGAGAAGACAGGCTGTCAGACACCGAAATCCCAGTATGGAGGCCGAGACTGGCTGACTAGTTCAAGGCCAGCCTGGGCTCCTGGTCTCAAAGCAAGCAAAGTATGAATCGGATGCACACTGCCACCTTGTGGTTCCTGTTTAGATCTCTGCCTGTAAAGCCGAGCCCAGAGCAAGGGTTTCGGAGAAAGGGGTGTTCTGTGGACCCTGCAGTAACTTTGCCGGACTGCGGTTGCTGGAGAGAGAGAAACTGTCTGGGACTTCCTTTTCTGTGCTTGGAGATCTGGGTTCCATGAGTCTGTTGAGAAATGAGAGTCTCTTTTACCCACTCCTGAGGCTTGTGTACATTTTATTCTTTCAAGCTCTTAGTCTCCATGTATTATTTGGATATTAAATCAATAGCTAGCTTTAGTGGTTCACGCCTATAATCTCAGCAATCTGGAGTCAGAAGCAGGAGGATTGTCATGAGTACAAGGTCAGCCTGGGCTGCAGAGACACTCCAGGGAGGCAGCTCAGTTGCTGAAGTGTTTGCTTAGAGCCCAGGAAGCCTCAGGTTGGGTTCTTGGCACCAGATAACCTGAGTATGGTGGCGGTCACCTGTGGTCTTGGCTCTCGGAAAGTGGAGGCAAGATCAGGAGTTCGAGGCCAGCCTGGGCTACATAGTGAGCTCAAGGCCAGCCCAGAATACAGGAGGCTCTAGGTAACAATAAAAAAAGGAAGAGGAGAAAAGGGAGGGAGGGCGGGAGGGAGGGAGAGAAGAAGGGAGGAGGAAGGGAATGAGGAGGAAAAAGAGAGGAAGGGAAGGAGGAAAGGAAGGAGGGGAGGAAGGAAAGGAAGGAAGGAGGAAGAAAGAAAGGGAGGAAGGAAAGGAAGGAGGGGAGGGGGAAGGAAGAGGAAAGAGGGATGGGTCACTGTATTGTGACAGCAGCTGCTTGTGCACAGTGCACACTAAATTTCTTTTTCTGTATTTTCAGTAATTTTGGCCTATTTATTTCTAGGTGTGACAGAGTCTTTCTTAGGAGATAATTCTAGACCTTCATTTATTCAGGATAAGGAGCTCAGTCACTTGATCCTCAAAGTAAGTGACCCCACACTCCTCACACCTGAGACACCCCTCTCACACCTGAGACACTCTCCTCACACCTGAGACACCCCCTCACACCTGAGACACCCCTCTCACACCTGAGACACTCTCCTCACACCTGAGACACCCCTCTCACACCTGAGATACCCTCCTCACACCTGAGACACTCTCCTCACACCTGAGACACCCTCCTCACACCTGAGACACTCTCCTCACACCTGAGACACTCTCCTCACACCTGAGACACCCTCCTCACACCTAAGACACCCCTCTCACACCTGAGACACCCCCTCACACCTGAGATACCCTCCTCACACCTGAGAAACCCCCTCACACCTGAGATACCCTCCTCACACCTGAGACACTCTCCTCACACCTGAGACACCCTCCTCACACCTGAGACACCCCCTCACACCTGACACACTCTCCTCATACCTGAGACACCCCTCTCATACCTGAGACACCCTCCTCACACCTGATACACTCTCCTCACACCTGAGACACCCCCTCACACCTGAGACACCCCTCACACCTGAGACACCCCCTCAGCTCTAGTCACCACCTCCTCAGAGCCTTCCGAGGGCTGATGTCGTGGCCTCATTTTCTCACAGGTGGGGCTTTCTAGGCTCCACAGCAGAAAATTTGGTGTCTGATTGACAGTCTTGCCTTGTACTATGACATAGGTGCATGTTATAGTTTTGTTAATTTTTCTTCATTTTTCTGTAACTTTAAAAAAGTTACTCTTAACTTAATCTTTAAGATTTACTTTTTATTCACGCATATGTGTTTGTGTCTCCCTCTGTGTGTGTGTGGGTGCACCCTGAGGACAGAAGGCTCTCTTGGATCATGGGTTATAGGCGGGTTGAATTGTGTCTCCCTCTGTGTGTGTGTGTGGTACACCCTGAGGACGGAAGGCTCTCTTGGAGCATGGGTTATAGGCCATTTGAATTGCTTGCTGTCGGAGCTGGAAAGTAACTCAGGTCCTCTGAGAGAACAGCAAGTATCCTGAACTTCTGAACTGCACCCCAGCTCCTGGAGGGTTAAGCTAAATCATTTTATTACACTGACCTGAGGGGGAGGGGACTATGTCATGGCATGGGCGTGTGTGTAGATCAGAGAGAGCAGTGGGGGAGGGGACTATGTCATGGCATGTGCGTGTAGATCAGAGAACGGTCAGGGGGAGGGGACTGTGTCATGGCATGTGCGTGTATGTGTAGATCAGAGAACGGTCAGGGGGAGGGGACTATGTCATGGCATGTGCGTGTGTGTAGATCAGAGAGCAGTGGAGGGGTTGGTTCTCTCTTTCCACCATGTGGGGTCCCAGGATTCAAATTCAGGCATCAGACTTGGCAGCCAGCGTCTTTTCCCACAGAGCCATCTTGCTTGCCCTGACAATGGGTTTTAGGGATACAGGGCGATGTTAGATAATCATGCAGAGGGCTTTGGAGGCCCAGCCAATCAATAGTCATGGGGCGCTTTTCTCACCCGCTGCTTCCTGTTACCTCAACTCCCCCCAGCACACATCGCCTAACTCTTCCTGTTGATTGTTTTAAGAATGAGTCAGAGGGGCCGGGCGGTGGTGGCGCACGCCTTTAATCCCAGCACTCGGGAGGCAGAGGCAGGCAGATCTCTGTGAGTTCGAGACCAGCCTGGTCTACAGAGCTAGTTCCAGGACAGGCTCCAAAGCCACAGAGAAACCCTGTCTCGAAAAAAACCAAAAAAAAAAAAAAAAAAAAAAAAAGAATGAGTCAGAGTACAGGAAGGTAGCTCAGTTGGCAGAGTTTCTGCCTAGCTGCACACAACCCTGGGCTCCGGACCCCAGCTCTGCATAAACAGGTGTGGTGGTGAATGCCTGGAACCCCGGCGCTCGGGTGATGAAGGCAGGCGGACTGGAGGAAATTCAAAGTTGTCCTAGACGGCATAGCAAGTCTGAGTCCAGCCTGAGCCACACGAGACTATTACAAAAGAGAGAGAATGCTTCCCTGGGGGGGATACCAGCCTGGAGAAATGGTTTAGAGGTTAAAAGCACTGGCTGCTCCTCCAGATGATCCAGGTTCAAATCCCAGCCCCAACCTGATGGTTCACAATCATCTAAAATTCCAGTTCCAGCGGATCTGATGCCCTCTTCTGCTTCCATGGACACCAGACTTCCATGCACAGCCTTACATGCTGACCATACACACACACGACACACACATACACAGAGTCAACCCTTCCTCTCCCGGTTTGCATAGCACAGCCATAGTAGCTGTAACAAGTGATGTATGTGTTCTGAGAACTTCACAGGGTTCTCTGTGTAGCAGACTGGACTCTGGCGAAGGTGATTTTATTTTGGAATGTTGTCATACAATGTGATGGACTTTACTGTAACATTTTCACACATGTATGTTCGTACTTGGTTAGTTTAGCCTTTCCCACCCTCCCCTGTTCCCTTTCTCGCCCCAAATGGTCCCCACTTCTGTTTTCACATCACATGTGTTCCGTGACCTTCTCCTTTTCTCCTTCAACCCCGTGATGTCTCTTCTTCCCCATCATGGACCATGTTCCATGACCCTGCACACATGTAAAGTAGCTTGATAATCAGATACCAACAAAATAGTCTATAGCTAACATTTTATGTTAAAAACTTTAGAATTGAATTTGGCGCTCTCTGTATGTCATATGAAAATTTTAGACTGGGGTTTGCTGGCTATCTTTACAGCACTGAGAGTTTCAGAGCCACGTCTCTCCTCCGATGGTGACTGGGTGCCGGAGAAATGACTCAGTCTGGGTTTTGTGTTGATCCTAGACAGCAGAAGGTTTCCTGTTCGTGGTCGGATGTGAAAGAGGGAGGATTCTCTTCGTATCTAAGTCCATCTCCAAAACACTGCAGTATGATCAGGTATCAAACCATGGTGTTTCCACGTGGTCCTGATTATTGTAAACAAACCCTAACTTGAAGCTGTGTCTGACCCCTTCCTTCCCTTTGCCGCTAAGTCAGAGCTTTGAGAGAGAAGGAAGACAGTAGAAGGGTGAATTCTTTCTTAGAAAGAGTATTTGAATTTATTATGAAACCTCAGAGAAGTAAGGCCTTTTATCTTAGAGAACGACCCACTAAGTCCTTAGTATTTGAGAAGACTGTGTTTCGGTCCCTACCAACATCAGTTGTAGAAAAATGAGGTTGGATGAGCAAGAATAAATGCAGTGTCCTTCTGGTTCTTATTGCCACTATTGAAAATCTTAAAGATTCCAGCAAAATTCTGTGATTGTGTGATGCTATTCTGTGCAGGGCCCAGGTAGATCCTTTGGTTGAGGGGCTTCTAGGTTGTTTCCAGGTTCTGGCTAGTACAAATAATGCTGCTATGAACATAGTTGAGCACATGTCCCCCAGTGATGGTTCTCCTGCTCATGTATCTATACACGCATGCATGCATGTGTACCACAGAAGCCAAAGGAGCTATCCGATCCTCTGAGACGAGAATACAGATGGCTGTGAGCTGCCCTGCAGGCCCCGAGTCTTCCAGGAGAAAAGCATGTGCCCATTAACTACTGAGCCATTTCTCCAGCCCCTCAGAATGCACATTTGTTTGTATTTACAAATGTTACCCAGAACCCCAAGTTAATGCCTCATGATGTGATGTATCTTTATTTAAGTTCAAGGAAGGTTTGCCTCTTGGGGTGTAACTCAGTGGTAGAGCACTCCCCTGGTACATACAAGGCCCCAGGTTTGAGCCCCAGCACTGGGGAGAAAAATATCAATCTCTAACAAGAGCATTTATCTTATGTGTGTGAAGAAAGGTCCAAAGGTGACTTCATTGATGCTAAGTGTGTATCCACTTTCTCAACAGGGCAGCTTGATGGGGCAGAATCTGTTTGACTTTTTACACCCAAAAGATGTCGCCAAAGTAAAGGAACAACTTTCTTATGATGTCTCCCCAAGAGAGAAACCTGTGGACACCAAAAGTGAGTTCTCCTTTCGGGGTTCTTACCACTGTCCCTACTTCCTGACTGGTTACCTCCCATCGCTGTGATAAATCACCATGGACACCAGAAAGGGCATTTATTTGTTTGTTTATTTATTTATTTTTAGTTTACTCTTTCAGAAGGATAGAGTCCATCACGGTGAGAATGACATAGCATGGGGGATGGGGGCAGGGACAGAAAACGGTTGATTATGGTTTTATCCACACACAGGAAATAGAGAGAGGGATGAAGGAGAAAGGGAGGGAGGGAAATAGAGAGAGAGAAAGAGAATTCCTTTACAGACATATGCAATACATATATTCACATGAAGATGATATGTGGGAATATATGATTGCTTATAGTTTTCAATCCAAATGAAACTTTTATAAGACAGTATTATTTGAGGGTAGAAAGTTGCTGTAGTTTTATTCTCTTTTGTATATGACCCAGATTTTAGGGTATGAAAGATCTTGTACCACTGGGCTTGGGAAATATATATATATATTCATTATCCCAAGATACTTGACTTGTGAAAATGCCTAGCGCCAAGCAGTTACTTATGACACAGAAACAGTGATTTGGGGGCCAGAGAGGTGACTCAGCAGTTAAGAGCTCTTGCAGAGGACCAGGTTCTGCTCCCAACATGCAGTGCTGCCCACACCTGTTTGTAACTCCAGCTCCAGAGGTCCAGTGCCCTCTCTTGGCCTCCATGGGCACGCACATCCACTCAGGTAAACACACACACATAAAATACAAATAAATTGTTTTTTTAAAATTAAGGGGAGACAATGATCTCGGCAGTTTATAATTTTGGTTTTATTTGTTTATATATTTGTTTGCTTGTTTATTGAGACAGAGTTTCACTATGCAGCTTTGGCTGATCTAGAGTCCCCTACATAGATCAGGCTGGCCTTGAACTCATGGAGATCCGCCTACCTCTGCCTCCTCGTGCTGGGTTTAAAGGCGTACACTGCGATTATTTCCTTTTTTAAGAGAAGGGAAGAAGAGAGGATGGAGGAGGTGGGTTTTAAGCATGCCTGTGACCTTTCTGTTCTCCTTCCCGCCACTGTGAAAGCCTCTCCGCAGGTTTATAGTCCTGGGCACACTGGACGACCACACATGCATTCTGGCTCCAGACGATCTTTCTTCTTTAGAATGAAGAGCTGTAAAATCCCCGTCAAGGAAGAGTTTCGACGTTCACCCTGCTCAAAGAAGAAAGGTGGGACTCCCAGGAGAGCATGCGAGCATGCGGTTCAGTGCCTGGTGTGGAACATGAGGTCCTAATTAGTTTCTATAAGAGAAAAAGTAAATTCCACAGTCAAGGCAAGAAATAGGATACCAAAGTGGAATTGTGTTAAACCAAGGTTGTTCATTCTGTTACTCCAGCCAGTGTGCATTCTGCTGTCTGGGATTTCCATGGTGCTGTTGAACTCGTAGCAGAAAAAGCTGAAGTTCGATTTGGGGCCAGATATGGCGGCCTTTGATGTAGGAGGGTCTTCTATCTATCTGTTGCTTCCATTGGTTAATTAATAAAGAAAACTGCTTGGCCTGATAGGTCAGAACATAGGTAGGTGGGGAAGACAGAACAGAATTGTGGGAGGAAGAAAGCAGAGTCATGCAGACGCCATGAAGCTCCGGCCCGAGATGGATGTAGGTTAGAATCTTCCTGGTAAGCCAGCATCTCGTGGTGCTACACAGATACACTGGCTGCTTTCATGTGATGTCTTTATAAGTTACATCTTTATGTGTGTATACTCTATACATTGGCTGCTTTCATTGTGACGTCTTTATAAGTGACATCTTTATGTGTGTATACACTATACATTGACTGTTCTCATTGTGACGTCTTTATAAGTGACGTCTTTATGTGTGTATACACTATACATTGACTGTTCTCATTGTGACGTCTTTATAAGTGACGTCTTTATGTGTGTATACACTATACATTGACTGTTCTCATTGTGACATCTTTATGTGTGTATACACTATACATTGACTGTTCTCATTGTGACGTCTTTATAAGTGACATCTTTATGTGTGTATACACTATACATTGACTGTTCTCATTGTGATATAAGTGACATCTTTATAAGTGAATACACTATACATTGGCTGCTCTCATTTGCTCTCCTCCTCATGCCCCTCCTTGTCCTAGGTTCCTTCCTTCCTCCTGTCCGTCCTCTTCCTCTTCCTTTCCCTCATCACAGGTGTTTCCATTTCTGTCTGTTTCAAGAAATCTTAAATTCCCCTTGGAGTGGACGTGCACTGTCCCACCTCCACGCAGACACACAGGATTTAGTTCTCTTTATTGACTTATTGACTCCATCCCATTGTGACCAGCAAAGGTACAGGATAGGATTTAATTCTGCATGAATTTGTTAACACTCGTTTTGTGGCCCAACACACAGTCCACTCGACTGTGAATCCACGCGTGATGAAGAGATGAGAAGACGGTGGGTGGTGGAGAGGCTCAGGGGCGGAGCCAACCTGTCTACACCTGGCCCTCAGCCACACTGTAGGCCCCGCCTGTTTCCAAAGACACCTCACAGAACTACTAAGGCTGTTAGACGAGTTATACATTCACGGCCGTAAGACCGGCTGGCCTGAGGCTCACCCCCTTCACCTCTATGCCGCTGCTGACTGGAACCCTTAGGACAACCTACAGAATTCCCTGTTAAAAGAGAAACAAATGATCATTTATAGATTTGTTGTTGGGGACCAACAAGATGTTGTGATGGCATTTGAGGGACACATAGTGACCTGAGTTTAATCCCACATAAAGATGGAGAGAGAATCAACTCTGAAAGCTGCCCTCTGAGCTCCAGTGCAGGCTTCTGCACGTGTGCACGCACATGTCACACACGCGCTGATAGTGATAATGAAAGCTGTTGTCCTGTTGGTCTTCCTGGATACCGCCAGTTTAAAACAATGGCTCTGCTGGTCTTCTGCAAGCCCAGTCACAGCTGAACTTTCCCAATAGCGTGTCTTAGGGCTTTCTCTGATTTCTAGTATGTAAGTCACTTTTCTAGGCGTGTACAATGTGTGCACCACCGGTCTTCTGAGCCCATGTGATAGTTCATTGTTTTTGTAAACTTTTCCCATAGTTGAGCATATGATTTTTTTTTCTCGTTTTTCATTGGTGGGCTGGTTTGATGAGCTGTTTCATGGGAATTAATTGCTTAGAATTTTTCTGAAAACTCAAGCTTTTGAGTCTTTTTTAAATACCTTTTAATGTGTTTCCAAGTGCTCATCAAATATGTCTGTGGTTCAATATGATCATATGTATCTATTAATCATCCTCACAGCCAACAGTAAGAGTTTCTCTTCATAATGGATATCGTGGTACAGATACGTAACAGCTTGGGAGGCTGAGGCAATAATATCAGGAGTTAGGGGATAGCCTGGTATACATATACATAGGGATCTGGGGGTTAGCCTGAGCTACCGGATGAATTTGTCTCAAAAAAAAAAAAAAAAAAAAAAAAGAGGAGGTGGAAGGAGGGAAAGAGAAAATGGTGGTAACATTGGTATTTGTGTTCTAAGTGTATTTCTATGGCTTTTTGTTAGACCACAGAAAATTCTACACCGTCCATTGCACCGGATACTTGAGAAGCTGGCCCTCGAGTGTTGTTGGCGTGGAGAGGGAGAGGGACAGTGAGAAAGACAGTGGTCCTCTTACCTGCCTGGTAGCCATGGGCCAGTTGCATCCATATACCATCCCTCCGAAGAGCGGCAAGATCAAAGTGAGGCCAACTGAGTTCGTGACCCGCTTTGCCATGAATGGGAAATTTGTCTACGTGGATCAAAGGTGCGCGCGCACGCTATGGGAAGCCGCTGGGGCCCGCTGAGGTTGTTCGGGGAGCGACTCCGACTCTATAGCTCTGCGGGAGGTTTCTTCTATTAGGGCTTGGGAATGGGAAGCACAGTTTAAACAAGATAAGGATAGGGCTGTGTTGGTGATTTTGGTCAAGACAGAGGACAAACCTGGAAAGGTGTTTCTAAGTCCTGGTGCTGAGTCCGAACCCGCTCCGCGGCCACGGTGTTGGCGGTAGCCTTGTAAGCGCATCATCTGGACTCCGTGGGACCTCACCTGGTGGCTTGCTACGCCGTGGCTCTGGTCTGGGGCTGGGGAGGACCAGGGCATCCCTTAGGAGCCCAGTGGTCCGTGTGACCTCCAGGCTGCTGCCCTGAAGTCCCACCTGTCCTGGACTTGTGGTAGCCTGGGAGCCATCACCATCTTCAGCTAATGCCATGTTTGTTTTCTGTTTCACAACCAGGGCAACAGCGATTTTAGGATACCTGCCCCAGGAACTCTTGGGGACTTCCTGTTATGAATATTTTCACCAAGATGACCATAGTAGTTTGACTGACAAGCACAAAGCAGGTGGGTGATTCATCGAGTGTGGTGCTCTGAGGGTAATTTAAAATCACAGCTTCAATCAGGGGTGGTGGCTCGCACTCAAAATCTCAGTACTTGGGAGGCGGAAGTAAAGAATCAGGAGTTCCGGGCTAGCCTGGACTACATGGCAAAACCCTGTCTAAATAAATAAATAAATGATTACAGCATTGACTTTCGATTTCTCGTTCCTTATTAAATTCAAAATTCAAATTGATTCTCAAGGCACTGGCTTTTGATTTGGTGTCTACTCTTGGCCTAGAATTCTGTATGGGCCCCTGGCTACCCTCTCCTCAGCCTCCCTGATACTGGGATTCCGGGCAGGAGCCACCACACTCGGCCTGAAGGCTTTTGATAAAGGCTGCTCTATTGATCGTGTATTTTCTTGTGAAGTTCTGCAGAGTAAGGAGAGAATACTTACAGACTCATACAAATTCAGAGTGAAGGACGGCTCGTTCGTAACCCTCAAGAGCCAGTGGTTCAGCTTCACTAACCCTTGGACCAAAGAGCTGGAGTACATTGTGTCTCTCAACACACTGGTTTTGTGAGTACTTCTCTGTCCTCTTAAGACCTTTGTATTAATTTCAAATGAGTATCTCTGCTTTTCCTAAGAAGCCATTAAAATCACATGGTCCTCTGGCTGTATGGAAGCTCAGTTTGGGGATGGATGCCAGGAGCCAGTACAAATGACAGAATCCTTGTGGGCTTCTCCCGTATCCATCCCCAGAGCTTGTCATCATTAGTTGCAACCCCTGGGACAATGTAAAGTCATGTTAATGGTTATTGTACCAGATCGTATAGGAATAATAACAAGAAAAGCCTCAATGTGTTTGGGAAAGATAAAAGTTATTCCCTTTGATTGTTTTTGGTCCCAATCCTGTGTCTGTGGTGACTAGTAGTGTCTGAGAATTATTTTTTATTCTTCATTGATGTTAGTTGCTCAAGTTAAGCTGTATGTTCGCCCTTTGTAATTTGCTTGGTATAAAGTCTGGCGGTGTACACACATGATCCTGGCGCCTGGGAGGTGGAGGCAGGAGGATGAGAGACTCAGAATCATTCTTGGCTATGTAGGAAGCTTGAGGCCATCTAGACTACATGAAACCTTGTCTCAAAACAACAACAAAACAAAACAAAAACAAAACAAAAACAAAAACAAGGAGAAGGAAGAGAAGAAGAAGAGGAAGAAGAAGCACTGATTTTACATTGGGATAGAGCTCAATGGTAGAGTACTCGCCTAACATGTACATGACCCTTGGTTCAGTCTCCCCAACATTGGTGGGGAGAGGAGGGAGGTCGGGCACACACGTTTAATGATGGTACTAAGGAAGAAGAGGCAGGCAGATCTCTGAGTCTGAGGCCAGCCTGGTCTATACAGCCAGGGCTACAAAGAGAGACCCTGTCTTGAAACAAAAACAAAAGAAAAAAGAAAAGAAAGCTCCATCTTTTATGACTGTGTGCCACACAGAACTGTAGCCAGAACAACCACAGAGTGAGCAGAAATCCGGCCCGTGTCTTCAGTGGAAGCGTCCACCTCCAGCTGGCTCAGCCCAGCCTGAGCTTTTGCTTTGCTAAGTTTATGAGGTACCTTGCTGTGGGACTCCCAAGACTGCCAGTAAAGTTTACTTTGAATCAGAGGGTAGAGCTAGCTACTAGCTGACCAAAGTTAGCCATAGAGGTTTTAGAGGACTGAGGACAGATGGAGAGATACAGGAAGTAGTAGGGAGGGGCCGAGATAAAGACAGGGCCCTTTTGGAAGGAGAGAGAGAGAGAGAGAGAGAGAGAGAGAGAGAGAGAGAGAGAGAGAG